TAAAGCTGTGCGGTGCTGTTGCAAGTGCCATTGTTGTTGCCGTTGCAGCAACTGCAACTGCAACTCATCCAAGTGACTTAGAAAGCGTCTCCTTAGAATCCCATCAGTCCCAGTCGCAGTCCCAGCAGCAGCAACAGCCCCCACCCATACCCCGCCCTCCCAACCTAAGTGAAACACAGGTCGAAGTCTGGGAGAGCCACTTGTCTGCCTATCAATTTCACTTTCTCACAACGACAATGAGACAGAGAGAGAGAGAGAGAAAAAATCAAAATGAAATGAAAGAAAATAAAAACAACATTGAAAGTCAATTAGCCGCTGTCCAAAAAGATTCTTCAGCCGAACCAGTCCGAACCTCTCAATGGTGGGGAGGGGCCACCTCCTCCACCATACAATTTGGCAACAATCTAAGCCAGCACGCATCGAATGTACTGTATCTGTATCTGTAGCCGAACATCTCAGCATCTGCACAGCCCCGAGGCCATCACTGACCAGACACCAGGCCTGGCCTGGGAAGCATTTGCCTTTGCCCGTGCCCGTGCCCGTGCCATTGCCTCCACCAAATGGAATTTCAGGTGCGGACTGCCGCCCCAGCCAATCCAGCCAACGGATCGAACGATCGACGGAAGGTTGGGATGCTCTGATACGGGCTGGCTGTTTATGAAAGTTCCGCAATATTACACTGCCGAGATACATTCTCGCAACGAAAGTTTTTATTCGAATATGGTTTTTTGGTTGGGGGCCCAGTTTTTGGGGTAACATTGTCGAGCGATGAACCGAAGAACTTTCATAACGAAGGGTCTTTGTTTTGGTGGCAGAGCATAGAGCATATATCCATGGAGAAGCATAGATAAGCCCGGAAAATCCTTTGCCAGCTAAAGAGCAAAAATCGATTAATGCAAATTAACATTAATAATGGAAATATATATCATTTATAGATATTATCGTACAGCTCTAGGATCGGCTGCATTCCTTTTTCCTAAAACTTTGGCCAGTGGCATGCCACAGCATGCCGGCATTCCGGCAGACGTTTTCCCATGGCCCAAAGAATCCGCTCTATGCGGATGGAATGACCAATGCGTTGACAAACGGAGGGTAAGAGCCAGGTCGAGCCGAGGCGTGGGCCATGGCCAACACAAACACACCCACTTTCCAAATGAAAACAAAATCGCAGACCACCAAATAGCAGCACGAAGCAGCCAGCCAAAGTGAAGTCTTCTCCATCTCTCCATCTGTGCCTCAGCCTCTATCTTCGTCTGCAGCAATCGGACTCGCAGTCGCACTCGGACTGGGACCTGGGCCTGAAATATCGATGCTGTATGTGCCGCGCATGCGCAAACAAACGAAACGAAACGAAACCCACTTGATGGCCCATTGGCTTGTCTAGAAGATGATGAATGATGGAGCTGGTGGCTGGTGGCTGGTGGCCAGAGGAAGGGCACGCACGGCACTGCCTCAGTCGCCATCTGTGTGTTGGTGCATAATTGAGAAGGCTTGCCCCCAGATGGGTGCTCAAAACCATGAGTGGACCCCAGCATCACTTTGGCTGTGAATTGAATTGTTAATACTTGATACTTGGTCATACACACAGACGCACTTGGGGTGGAGAGCAATAGTAATCAACTTCAGAATGCCCGAGAGATTTTTTTGGATCAAGCTGAGAAAAGGGAAAGTGGCCAAAGGAACGAGAGAGATCCTTGGGTAGCTTGGGCTGAGCCAGCAGTGCAGGACACACGAAATCAAGTGTCCCTCTTGAGTTCAGTCTCAGATGATGTTCACTATGAGGAGTATAGAATCTTAAAGGTAGGCTAGGAATGGTGAGGATTTGAGATGGGAGATAAATTTATAAGATACAAAAAGTCTGGCACTGAAGATTGGAAGACTAACTGATTCCCAGACACATATGTATCTACCTAGACCACCCTGTCCGATACTCTCACTTTCGTCTCGTTTCTCTTTTTCTCTTCATTGTTTTCCCATCTCTCTGATCGCAGAGATAGCTCTGACTGGGAGAAAAGTAGAGCCGCGGCCCTTGCCGCGACTTCTATGCTAACATATTATGCCATTACCACTGCCTTGGATCAATGAGCTGCTCCCAGTTCTCTGTTGAGAGTTTGGAAGGCACACTTGCAGGGGGTCGAATTCAATCCTTAGATAATCCCCTGCGTAAGTCAGACATCGACAGCGCACTGGAATGCCATTAAAAAAGCCTGCGGCATATTTGGGATTTCGATTTTTGTTGTCAGTGCGGAATCTTTTCTGTTTCTACTGTCGCTATTGCCGAGTGCCAGTCAAACATCGATCAATTGCAAATAGAAAACTAAGCCCCAAACAGGCGGATGGATCCCGTAGATAGCTCACCGCGCGCAAGTGAGGAGGGGTCAGTCCGTTGGGGGCTCTGCTTGCGGGTGGGCCAAGACGGGAGAGAAGAAAGTGTCAAGACCAATTTGAAATATTCGCTGGTGAAATTTAAATCATTTTCAAATTTAATTACCAACAAATAAACGTTTGACATTCCGGGGAGTTGGACATTCCGTCTGCCTGCCACCTGTTCGGCTGCCTCACCTGCCTGGGCGTGGCATGGTGGAGCATGAAGTATCCCCGCTCCCCACTGCCCACTGCCCGCACAACCACCACTCCAGCATGGGCATTGTTTTTGTCTGTGATCTTCATTAGCCTCTGGCCGGCTCCTGTTGTGGCCATTGCGGTCGGGTGGCCTGACCAAATCTCCGACTCTGTTCATTGAAAAATCGGTGCGCAGAGCGCTCACCACAGTGGTGTGAGGCGAGAGCGAGGAACCATTCAAACGGTATTGGGCTTGACGATTTTACTGCAAAACCACCATGCGACCACGGTGCAGAGCGGCGGTGGTGGGCGGGTGGACAATAAAGTTGCCTTGGTTTATATGGGCTAACCGGGTACCCCGCAATGGCATAGCCGCCGACCTACTTGCACCTAAACATCCTACCCACCTCCCCTCCTGCACCCTGCATGGCATTTGGCAACAACCCTTGGCCCATCCCATCCATTCCATGCGTGAGCGGAGATTTCATTCATCCACACACGCACGCACGCACACACAAACAATGACTGAATGACAGTTATCTGAGAGAGCAGGCGATATGCCTGCCGTGCGTGAGCGAGCGGGGAGCGAGTGAGAGAAGAGCTGAAGCTGACTCTGGAGACACATTTCTTTCGCTGGCCTTTTGCGTTCGCTTCGTTTCGTTTTTTGTCATACCCTTGCAGAGGAGAGTGTTTGCTACGCGCAGCAGGAAGCATCTACACCGAGAGAGCATACTCCTCCCAGACTCACTTAAATCTGATTCTGTTTTTGTTTTAATGGCTGTAATAGAAAGGATATCATAAAGGGTGTGTGTGTATATAAAGATTCGACCCAGAATCAGGCCTTTCTTCTGGTTTATGTTTTGTTGTTCGCATAAAAAGCCGCTTTTCGTTTTAGTCCGTCTGGTCTGGAGCTGGAGTTGAAGATGAAGCCAAAGCTGGACGCAGAAGCCGGAACTGGCGGCCATGGCCATGGCCTAAACGCATCGCAACGCAATGCGACGAAAGTTGCGCCGTTTTTGGGCTGGCCAAACGAAACCAGACAGCAGAAGCAGAAGCTGAGGCTCAGGCAGAGCAGAGGCAGAGGCTGCTGCAGCAAACGCAAGCGGAAGAAGCTGTTGCTGGTGGTGCGGCTGCTGCTGCTGAGGACGACCTGTCCACTGGATGGTAACGTGAAAATGCAGCGCAACAAGTTTCGCAATAAAGAGAAAGTGTCCAGATCTGGTGTTCTGGGGATCGTAAAGAATAAATTTGCGGCCTATTCAAATGTTTCCTGTTTCTTTCTCACATACACAACTGCAGGCAACAGGCAGCCAGCAGACCTGCCCCCCTTGCACCCCACACACACACCCCCTCGCACAGTTAAGCCAAAATTTCATGAGTATCTTTCGCTCTCTTCGGCGAGAAAGTTGCCTTCGTTTGGGCCGGGACGAGTACGAGCAAGAGACCGAGTACGAGGCGGCAGCAGCCGGGAAGTGCAGCCAGATTGGGAGACGCATCGGGCCACGCGACAAGTGAAAACAAGATGCCAAACTCGAGTGCAATTGCGATCCAAAAATAATTCCCCAGCCGCCGCCTGGAGCCGATTCCGGACCCAAGATGAGTGCACAGTGAAGCGCAATCACAGCAATAACAGCCACAGTGGTCCGGTCCCATGCCAGACGCCTCACAATTTGAATTACACATAAATACATAGACAGAAGAGAGAGAGAGAGTGAGTGGCACAGTGGGACATACAACAGCACTGCAAAATGTAAGTGCAAGTGCAGTGCACAGTGAAACGAACACACAGCAGAAGTGGACTGTTTCCGTGTCCCCGTTCCACCGTTCATGTGTGTGTGTGTGATTGTGTGCATGAGATGACGGAAGGCATTGACTGGACTTGGTCGTGAACGGACGTTGCTGTTGCTCGTACTCTATTGATAAGAGCGGCAATCACTTTTTACAGCTTACTCACACCCCCGCCCACAACTATGTGAGAGAGAGAGAAAGAACTCCCGTCTGATTAAATTCCAATAGTAAAATGAGCAACAGCACAGATATTCCCCATGAAAGAGATGAGATGACTTGCCACAATAGAAGCCGCCAAGTGTGAGGCAACAGGAATGTGTATTTGTAGAAGAATCTTTCCTTAAAATTAATGTCGTAAAATAAATTAAATCATTTAACTCTTTAGCCCGCAAAAAAACTGCCATAGAAATAAACTTATTTTGGTGTAAAATAATAATTATGAAAAGTAATATCTAGCTAGAAAACGGCCAATTGCTCAGCCCTGATGCGGCCCGATAATGAACCCAACGGCCGCAACAGAGTGGCGGGCCTTCCCCACAGAACTCGAACTCTGTGGCAATATGGGGAGGCTGGGGCTTCTCTTATCCGCAAAAACATCCGAATCCGTTCCGTTCCGCTGCTGTGACTCGAGGCTGTGTCGCCGATTCCCGGTATGGCGCAGTGCCAGCGACAACACAACGGCAGCGACATCGCGCGTCCCATCCCAGCGGAATATCAAAACGAGGAGCACTCTCTCTTTCTGTTGCCTGGATCATGGCTTTCCTGCGCAAGGCTGCGCTGCTCCTTCTGGTGCCACTGCTGCTCCTGGAGATGGTTAATCTGTGCGGCGGCACCGCCACCCCCTGGCTGAAGTACAACAGTTACACGGCCCAGGGACGCAGTCGGTCGGACCAGCGCGAACGCTGTCCTCATGTGAGTGCCAGAGGGTGGTTGGGTGGAGGGGAGTGGGAGGGGCAATACCCTAGAATTTCGATTTGGGTTGACGAACAGACAGGTCCCATCCCTGGTCACGCGCCTCTCCTAACTGGATCACTTTCTTTGGCAGCGCTTTGATTTAATTCTAAGCACAGCAGTCGCGCCACAGGAAAGCATCTCGAACGGCTCATCAATATGCCCAGCCATACCGCGGCACACACTCAGCCACTCAGACTCGCACTCGCACATGCCGGGTTAGAGATGACACCAGCCGCGTGGTGCGCGGGGGTTACCTTTTGCTCAGTCACGAGAGCATCATTGTTCACGAGCGACTTACCCACTTACAAGCTGCTCACCTGCTCCATCCTGACCTGCCATGTCTAATCATCGATTCACGAGCATGGACCATCTCTAGCGCCGCCGCCGCCGCCGACAAGAATGAGTGGGACATAGAAAAGCACAAGAAATGGGCTCACACTGATGCCAAAATCAATCACACTTTCTAAGTGGCTCAGACGTCGTCTTCGTCGTCGTCTCTTGTCGCTTGTCTGTCTCTCCCGCTCACGCTCCCGCTCCCGCTCCTGTTCCCGAGCCCCAACCAGCCATCCACTCCCTGTCCCTCTCCGCTGGCGACGGCGACAATTGCACGTTGTTGCAGGTGGTGCACAAGTGCAGGCTGAAAGCCGCAAGAAAACAATCAACAAAGAATAGACAAAAGACACGCACCTATGGCAGGCTGTGGCATGGGCTGGGGAAGGGGGCAGTTGCCGTCTCTGGCGCGGGGGGTACTGCATCAATCAGAGTCTGACTACGACTACGGCTCCGGGTACGACTCCTCAATGGACTGTCAGTAGTCAATCACAGTGACAGCGCTAACTGCTTTCGTCTGCTGCCAGCCGCCGTTTCTGGTACTTCTTCGCTGCTCTTCTCTCTCTCTCTCTCTCTCTCGCCACTAGTGCTACCCATTGAAGAAGGTATACACATTGTTCTCTGATGTTTGCAGTGCAGCGAACGCATCCATGCCAGGCCATGTTTGTTTGGGTGTCATTTTTGGGTAGACAATCAATGCGAGGAATCGATTATTCATGAGTTAAATTATGCTTTTAGCTCAAATAGAAAAAAACTATGAATGAAATCAGCTGACTTTATCAACATGGCTGACATTGAATTCGAAAGGGTATCAAGTATTCGTTGCCGACGCGTCGCGATCCTAGCATTTCTCTCTTCTTGCAAATGTTTTACCAACAACTTTCTATGCGGAGAGGAGAGCAGACAACACACACACACACACACACACACATTTGAACTACTCTCTCTCTCTCTCTTTATCGCTCTCTTTCCTTGCAGGTACGCGCCATACGGAACTTTGATTTGGCAAAAATGATGGGCTGCTGGCACGTGGTCCAGTACTACGCATCCACGGAGGAGCTGCCGGAATACGCCTGCATGCGCAGTCACTTCAGCTTCACCGGAGAGGATCAGCATGTGGGTACCACTTGAAAACCCTTCAACATACAGTTCTATTAATATATGTATATTTTATCCTCTGATCAGATTACGATGAACTTTAGTTACATTTTTGCTGAGGATCCGCTGCGGGAGAAGATGCAGGGCAACATCACCTGGATGATACCGGAGTTCCAGTATCCTGGCCACTGGATGCATACCGAGGATATATGTGAGTGGGGAAAATGGCATGGAGATAAATGGAGATATTGAGATGTCTGCAACCCCACAGATGAGGGCGTCTACAACACCTATGTGCTGGACACGGACTACCAGAGCTGGGGCCTGGTCATGCACTGTGCCGAGAAGAAGAAGCACACCAGGTACCTGTCCGCCCTGCTGTTGTCGCGCGAGCCGACACTGGGCGAGAATGTGGTTAACTTTTTGCGTGAGAAGCTGCCCCGCTACCACATCGACCTGTCCTTTATGTTCGACATTAATCAGACGGCCTGCGATAATCTCATGGAGTCCAGCAGCGATGATCCGCTGGCCTACATTGTGAATGGGCGCAAGAATGCGAAGGAAATGTTTAAAATTATTACCAAGCAATAAATCAAAATACATTTAAATTTACGCGCCATTGTCGGGGCGCCATCTGGCGACTATAGCATGGAACGATGTATCGCTGCAATCGAGTGCCAGGTCGTAATCGATACCCCGGCATGGAAATTCGCGTAAAAACATTGCAAATATTGCTGAAACATTCTGCAAAAATTGCTAAAACGTCCAAAGTTTGCATATAAATTAAATTTGTTTGAAAAACATATGAATTTAAACATTTTTTGTTGCATGTGCACGCACCGTGTGAGTGGCTGCTAGTGGTGGCAGAACATCGATGAAGCATCGATTACACATGATGTTTTGCAAGGTAATTTCTGCAGTAAAATTTGGTCCCACTATTCCGTAGTTTCTGCAAAAACAGAAGAAAATAAACTTTTCCGTGAGATTTGTTCGCACAAATTGTGAAAAATACAATCGATTGGAAGCGCGCTATACCCCCGTTCGTCCACCACATATGTTTCGGAGTGTGCGGCTGGCAAAAAAGCCACAACAAACGCAAAATTAAAGTTTCGCACGCGAAGAAGAAGAACGGACAGCAGCAGCTATAATTGTAGATGTCTTATTGTTGTTGTTTCTGTTGTACCTGCCCCGACTCTCGCCATGACGCGGAGATGATGCTGCTGCTGCTGGGGCAACACTGAGGCAAGGCAAGGCAAAGTAAAATTGGTCGAAATATGTGTGTGCAACAAACAACTACGCTGCAGTCGATGATGCAGATGGCGACGACGTCCCAGCCCCATTGATATCATATCGGGTGTGGGGTGGGGAGCATTTACTTAGGTGGAAAACTAACTATCGCCCAGAACTCGTGCGTGCCACAAAATTGCGCCAATAAGCAAAAGAGAGGCGAACGCAAACGCAAACATCGTTTGTTTTATTGCATTCCTCGCTCGCACAAACACACACACACAAAAACACAGGCAAGCCAGCATACACAAACAAGCATCAAGCAGCACAGCACTCACGCACACTGGCCAAACTCTCATCCAGCAAACACACGCGCACGCACATTGCCCACATCATATGTGTTCGTGTGTGTACATGCTGCAGCAACAGAGATTTTGTCCACTACTCTCACATACACACACATGCATTTACGCAGCAAAACGCAGCACAACAAAACTACCACCACCACCTCTCCGCCGCAAATGTTTCGCTTGAGGTAAGTCCCATCAACATCAAGATGCAACACTTGCAACAGCGGCAACGGCAACGGCAACAGCAACAGTAGCAGCAAACAATCCTAACAACAATGGCAGCAAAAGTGCAACAAATTGATTTGTGTGTGTGTGTGTTTTTTTTTGTTGTTTGGAGAATCCAATAAAAATTGGAAATCGCTGACAGTCCGCGGTGTGCACTAGTGTGTGCTCGCTCCCACTAATCGCTGGCATACGGTCGCGCGCTTTGTTGTGTTTTGCTGTTGCTGCATTTCTCTCGCTCCGCCCCAGGATGCTCCTGTTGTTGCTGCTGCTGCTGCTTGACAGTGTTGCAAAAAGGTTAAATTAATTATGCATTTTGTTCGCTTTCAGTGAGAATCCAAGACATTGAATCGTTGAACCAGTCCAGGCCTCAGGAAGAGCACCAGAAGGAAGAGTCAGAGCAGCAGCAGTAGCAGAAGCTCGCCAAGATGTCGCGCTGGGGCAAAAACATCGTCGTGCCGCTGGACTCGCTCTGCAAGGAGAAGGAGAACACCAACCGGCCGACAGTAGCCCGTTCCGTGGGCACCGTGGGAAAATGGGGCAAGATGGGCTTCACCTCGACCCGCACCTACACACTCTCCGCCCTCCATCCGATGGCAGCGGCGGCGGCGGCTGCCGCAGCAGCGGCCAGTCCTGCCCAAAGCCCGGCCTCCACCCACGACCATGATCCGAACGACCTGTCCGTGTCTGTGCCGGAACCGCCCAAGCCCAAGAAGTTCTTCAAGTCACGAAACGCAGCGCCGCCCGAGGTGATTGCCCAGATCATCCAGCAGATGCCGCACTGCATCGCCACGTCGCCGATGCGGGATCAGCACGGCACGCCCGCCGCCGCCCACGAGACCCTCAAACAGAAGCTGGCCAAAGGCAACTCCGCAGAGCGGAAGCGCAAGTCTCCCAAGAAGAAGGCAGCTACGTCGGCGACGCCAACCACGCCATCCACGCCAGGTGCGTTCGGCCTCGACAAAGATGACCTGGATGCGTCCGCGGACCATCTGGAGGGTGGTGACGAGCCCCGCTCGACCAAGAAGAAGCGGCCCAAGGAGGAGAAGAAGCTCAAGCCGGAGGCGCCGCCATCGCGCATACTGGGCCGGGCCCGCAAGGCGGTCAACTATCGCGAGGTGGACGAGGACGATCGCTATCCCACGCCCACCAAGGATCTAATCATTCCAAAGTCGCGCACCCCAACGGAAACGGTCACATCAGCAACGGCATTGGCTGCCACCTCCACGGAAGCCATCACCTCGACAGCAGCCGGCAGCAGTCCAGACTCTGGCCCAGCGCTGCCGCCCCCCACAACGGTGCCCAGTGCTGTGGCCGCGTCTGCTGCGACAACGCTGCCGCTGCCACCAACCGCCTCCGCCACGAATCCCACAAGTGCATCCCGCACGCCGGAGCATCCGCCCATTGTGCTGCGCATTTCCAAGGTGAGTGTGAACCAGCGCTGGCTTAGCTCTTAGCTCGAAGTTGGCTCCCGGGTATTGGGGGGTATAAAATTACTAAGGACTTGTTGCCTTGCGGTCTACCAGGAGTAGCAACCGTAGGAGTAGCTTTAGCTCTGCCCATCCGCCTGAGTTCGCCTGTCTGTCTGACTGAATCCCTGGATATTGGACAAACACCTGTGGCACTCACTGCCTCCAGACGTGTCTGGTCAATCATTCAGAATGTTGGCTATAAAGATATATTTCCATGTCTTGTGTGATTGCCAAAGGCAATCCTTAACAATTTTCCTCCTATTGGATGAGAGTTTTGTTTGAAAAGTTCCCTCACCGAAATCCATTGAAATCGAATAGTCCGGGAATTAAATTTAAATATAATTTATAATTATAAATATATTTATAATTATAATAATATTATTTATCTTTTATAAGATTCCCCTTTTTTTATATATATATACACATTTAGAGGGTATCGTAATATTCATTCTTGATCAGCTCAAAGTCGATATATATTCATGTGCTTTAATTCTTGAGCATTTTGCTCTTTATGCCATACAATTCGCATCCATTCGAAACATTTTCTGTTGGTGCAGCAAGTTTTCCAATCCACAAGTTTTATTTATATTTATTATCACACATTTTCCTTTAAATCCTGCAATATGCACTTACAAATTTCTAAACAATTGAATGCCGAAAATCATTTCGTGCATATTTACTGTTGTTCGATCCGTTCGCTCTCTTCGCTACGAACCACAACTATATTTGATTCCGTTATAAAATATTAAAACTTACACAATTAGTGGAGTACCCTCAGTTTTTTGCAACGTTCTTTGCTTTGGAGAGCGAGCCGCGATCTCTCTCTCTCTTTGGCTAGTACGGCTCTCACTCACCCCTCTCTATGGCGGCTCTCTTGCTCGCGCTCTCGCTCTCTGGCACTTCGAGTGGCGCGCTGAGTGGGAAAGAGAAAGCGACAGCAACAGCAACAACAACAACGGCAGTGTTAAATTACGCGCGCTTTTACATTAAACGGAGTTTTTTTTTTTTTTTTGGTTCTTTCTTTCGTTTTTTCTTTCTTTCTGTTTCTGTCTTCGGGCTTCGTGCTTCTGCCTACTGCTGCTCTTTCTGCTTCTGTTGTTGGCCTTACTTACCTTGTGGCTAGCTTCTTTCAGCAGTCAGTGTCGCCACAGTTGTTGGCGCCGTTTTTTCAGACGCCTGGGGGAAACGAAACGAAACGAAACGCGACACCACCGCCGACACAGACAGACAGACAGACATTTGAAAGCCGAATCCGAACCGAACCCAAATTATTTCAATTTGATTCTAAAAACGGATCGAATTTTGAATCCATTTTGCAGGGCACTTCGCGTTTGGTCAGCACGGACAGCGAGGAGCCGCCCAGCAGTTCGCCAGCGCACCATCAGTACCACCAGCAGCAGCAACAGCAACAGCTCCTGCAGCAGCAGCATCAGCAGCACCACCTCCAGTACCAGAACCAGAGCCAGAGCCAGCAGCAACAGCAGCTGGAGGAGCAGCCATTTGGAGCAGAGCAGACACAGACACAGACGCAGACGCAGACAGCTGGAACAGCGGGTGGTGCGAGTGGTGTGGTGGATCGAAGAGACGACGAGAGAGAAAAAGTTCCTGCAATTACGCCAAAAATCATTGTGAAACCTTTGCGACCGCCTGGGGCCGAGGTAACGGGTGCCGCTTCCGGCTTCGAAGAGCAGCGTCAGCCAGAGGAGCCCGCCGAGGAGGACGCCGACGAGGAAGAAGAGGAGGAGGAGGAGGAAGAGCCGCCCGAGATCAACTATTGCACTGTGAAGATCTCACCGGACAAACCACCGAAGGAGCGCCTGAAGCTGATCATCAAGACCGACGTGATCCGGAACGCCATCGCCAAGGCAGCCGCAGCGGCGGCAGCCAAAGCAGCCGGGGAGGAGACGCGCAGCGAAAAGAAGTCCAAGAGCAAGAAGCACAAGCACCTCAAGCACGCCCAGCTCGAGCAGCAGCAGCAGCAGCTGCTCACCAACGCCAGCGCCAACAACAGCAACAACATCGCCAGCGGGGGAACAGTGGCCAGTGCGACAGTCACATCGACAGCCACGGCCACGCCCACGCCACCATCACAACGGAGGCAAACTCAGAGTTTAAGACGCCGTCACCCCACCTGGCCCTCAACGATCCCACGCACCACCAGCAGCAGCAACAACAACAGCAGACGCAGCCAATCCAGCCCCAACGCGGCTCGGTGATTTCGCCGACAACACGCTCGGATCACGACTTTGATTCGCAGTCCTCGGTGCTGGGCAGCATCTCCTCGAAGGGAAACAGCACGCCGCTGCTGCTGGCGCAGGCCGTGCAGGAGGACAGCTGCGTTATTCGGAGCCGGGGATCCAGTGTGATTACCAGCGACCTGGAGTCGAGCCAGCACTCGTCCCTGGTGGCGCCGCCCTCGGACATTGAATCGCGCCTGGAGTCCATGATGATGACCATCGATGGAGGGTCAGCGGCAGCTGGCACCACGTTATCGGATGTGGCACCAGGACCGCTGCAGGAGGATATCCTGGCCGTTCTCCGCGGCGACAATGTGACGCGTGTGAATGGTGCGCCCGAGGAGCCTCCACCAGCCGTGGACGAGCCGCCGCCCAAGCGGACGACGCGCGGCAGGGCCCGCAAGGCCAACAACAATGTGGATGCGGCACCAGCGGTGCCGGCAGCGGTCACCGAAACGCGGACACGTGGCAGGGCCAAGGCAGCGGAGACAATCACATCGCCCGTGGCTGCGTCTGTGACCGTGCCCAAGCGGACCACACGCGGCACTCGCGGCGCCAAGAAAGTGGAACCGGAGACGAACATGGAGGTGGAGGAGTCCGGCCCGCTGGCTGGCACTGAACAGGAGGATGCCACCGCAACGGTGACCACCTCAGCGGTGACCCTGCCGCGACGTGGCCGCAATGCCGCCGCCCGAGCCAACAACAACAATCTGTCCAGCATCAACAACAATATCAACAAAATAGCTGCCAATCTGTCGGCCAAGGCGGAGGCCAGTCGTCTGGCGGAGGGAGGCGGCCCGGCTCCGGGTGCGCGCAGCTACGGGCGAAAGCGGAAGAACCAGCAGGTGACGCAAGTGGTGCCGCAGGAGGCGGCAACGGCTGGTGAGGGCGCAAGCGCGGAGAATGCCGCTGCCCAGCGCGATGAAGAGGATGACGAGGAGCTGCCGACGCCCGCAAAAATTCCGCACACCGAGCCCGAGCACGACGCTGATGCTGATGGCGATGCGGATGCGGACCACGAAAACGAACCGGATCCTGATCCGGATCTGGACGAGGCCGACGAGCTGTCAAACAACTCAAACTCCAATTCGAACAATTCCTCGCTGCAGCACGACGGCTCCTCGTCGTCGCCCCCGCCGCGCGACTTCAAGTTCAAGGACAAGTTCAAGCGCACCCTCACCCTCGACACCCAGGTGGCCAATGCCAATGCAGAGGCCGCTGCAGCAGCCGCCGCCGCAGCTGCCGCAGAAGCCGAAGCTGCAGCAGCACCAGCAACAACAGCAACGGCAACAACAACAACAGCGTCAACAGCGGCAGCAGAGGGCGGTGCCAGCTCGACAACGGTACCAGTACCACCACCGCCAGCGCCAGAGACGGAGCAGCGTGGAGCCGTGAAGCTGGTCATTTCCAAGAAGAAGGGCAGCATCTTTAAGAGCCGCGCCCTGGTGCCCTCCGACCAGGCCGAGCAGGCGGCTGTGGCCAAGCGGCACCTCTACAAGCACAGCTGGGATGCGGCCCTCGAGGCGAATGGCGGCGGCACCGGCAGCGATGCCAGCAATGCCTCCGCACCTGGCGGCGTCTCCTCCACGGGCGGCAAGGACCATATGCTGCATATGCACCTGCTCGCCACCAAATCCGATGGTGACTTCTGCGACAGCCCCTCCTCCAATAATAATACGAGCAGCGGCAGCTGCTCCTCCTCCACGCTGCGCGACGACAGTCCGGGCCTGGGCCTGGGTCTGGGCAAGGTCTCGCGCAGCTCGGCCAAGCAGATCAGCATGCCCGTCGCCCATGCCATGGTGGAGGGTTTCGACATGGACGCCGCCGAGGTGGAGGAGCTGGGCCTGGAGCGGGTCGTTGGCTTGAGCAGCGTCGGAAATCTAGTCGGTAGCGCAGCTGCAGCGGTCCCATTCGGGTGGACCGCAAGACCAAGGAGTACTACACGGTGGTGCGGAATGTGAAGACCGCCCATCAGATACAGGAGATTGGCGAGTACCAGGAGATGGACGACGACGTTGAGTACATACTGGACGCACTGCAGCCGCACAATCCGCCTGCGACACGTTGCCTATCCGCCCTCCAGCTGGCCACCAAGTGCATGATGCCCGCCTTTAGGATGCATGTCCGTGCCCATGGCGTCGTCACAAAGTTCTTCAAGGTAAGTCCCGGAGGAGAGTTCGATGGAATGATGGAATGATCCCTACAATTTGTATTCCGTGTCTGTTTTTTAGGCCCTGTCCGATGCCAACAGGGATCTGAGCCTGGGCCTGTGCACCTCGGCCATTATGTACATCCTGTCGCAGGAGGGCCTCAACATGGACCTGGACCGCGACTCGCTCGAGCTGATGATCAATCTGCTGGAGGCGGACGGCGTGGGTGTGGCCGGAGCGGCACCCTCGGACCAGCGGGCCAACTACGAGCGGAACAAGCAGAAGGTGCGCGAGCTGTGCGAGGAGATCAAGGCACAGGGCAAGGGAACCCACCTGAATGTCGAGTCCATTACGGTGGGCACTCTGGCCATGGAGACGCTGCTCTCGCTGACCTCAAAGCGGGCCGGCGAGTGGTTCAAGGAGGATCTGCGCAAGCTGGGCGGCCTGGAGCACATCATCAAGACGATATCCGATTTCTGTCGGCCAGTGATTGCCTGCGACATGGACATGGAGCGTCAGATCACGTGGGTGCCGGTCCTGTTGGACAACATGCAGACGGTGGCCCGTTGCCTGCGCGTCCTTGAGAATGTCACGCAGCACAATGAGGCGAATCAGCGCTACATGCTCACCTTTGCCAAGGGCCGGGCGGTCGACACACTCTGTCTGCTGTATCGGCTGTGCAGCCGTCAAATGGTGTTGCATCCATCCACCACGGAGCTGGCCACGGGCAGCAACAGCCGCAAGGAGCATCCGGGCGTGGCCATGCGCGAGCTCCTCATAAATGTGATGAAGGTGCTGATCAGCCTCACGCACACCTTCAACGAGGCACATCCATCGCTGGGCGCCGATTTGCTCGGCAAGCGTGGAGACGTGATCGAGACGAGCTTTCAGCTCTTGCTGCTCTCAGGCAACTACATTCCCGAAAACTGTGTCTTTGAGCTGAGCATTTTGGTGAGTCTCATTGAGGGGGGGGCGTAGGGGGGACTTATTGATCCATTTGTACTGATCCTTCGCCACCGCCCATCAGGTGCTCACACTGCTGATCAATCTGTGCATGTACACGCCGCGCAATCGCACCCATTTGATGGAGGCATTTGCCCCAGCCGAATATGTGGCGGACACTCCACCGGTGCAGGGCAGAGTCAGTGCACTCCAGGCCCTGATCGAGTACTTTTACAAGTGCGAGGAGCTTGCCAGGTGAGTTGAACAGGCGCCAGATGCCGCAACACGCAGGACAAAGGTTTATTGTTATTGTGTTATTCCGCCCTTGCAGATTGGTGGAGAAGAACACCGACGCCTTCCTGGAGAGCAACGATACGGGCAAGAAGAAACAGGAGGAAGTCGAGGAGACGGTCAACAATCGTAAGTAGCTTTATCCTGTCTGTCTGTCTGTCCAATCCAATTCAATCTTTAATCGAATCCATTAATAGTGCTTCAGCGCGCTGGCCACCACATGGAGCACACGCTCAAGGGCAGCTACGCGGCCATTCTTGTGGGCAACCTGATAACCGACAACGAGCTGTACGAGGCAATAGTGCGGCGCCAGTTGCGCGGCCACAGTTTTCGTGAGGTTGTCGGTGTGCTGGAGAAGTATCACACCTTCATGAACCTGACATCCAGCGTGAGTAGTCCCTCCCGCTCTTTCCCAGAAGTCTCTGTCTAACCCCCTTTGCTCGTTATCAATCGATTCCACAGCTGGAGGCGGCTGTTGTGTCTCACATGAAGTCCACGAAGCGCATCATCGACAACTTCAAGAAGCGCGACTACATCTACGAGCATGCGGACGAGCTCGATGACGGTCTGCCGCTCAACCTGGAGACAACGGCGCAGGACCATCAGGATGAGTTGGGGGCGGGCATCAGTGGGGATACGACCACTTCCTCCTCGACCTCCTCGTCGCCCACATCGTCGACGCGTGTGCCGCGCGTCTACAAGACATACAGCAGCCATAGATAATTGCTGTAAACGTGAGATGAGAGAGTAGTAGGAGGAGGGAGGGAGGAGTCGACAGCCTACCACCAAAATATAATTCTGTTTGTGATTATGTAATTCGTTTATGTGTTTGTATGCCACTCTATATCTATACTTGTGTGTAGTGTGTGTATGTATATGTGTATATGTATATGCCCCCTGCCCCTGCCCCATACCCATCCCCCTTCACTTGGCTACCACATTATCCTTAGCAGATAAATACATATATATATATAAATATAGATGTTTATATGTATAGCCGCTATAGGGACATAGGGATAGTAATGTGAATGTGTGTGAATATTGAATATGTGTTTATTCGTTTGTATTAACCCCCCAAAAGTGATAGCAAACTCTTGAGCATGGTCAGCGTTTAAACTACAAACCCGAAACCGAGCAAACCGAGAAACCAATTGCGGAAAGCGGTAATCCCAAACCAAACTGCAAGCGAAGCGGAGAACAAAACCCTGCTGTACCCAATCGAACTAGAAACCGATTCCGTAGCCAGTGCCCCGTAACTGGAAACGATACTGAACCAGAACCACAACCCGAACCCGAACAACACAAAGATCCAAATCCACTACTGATATGTGTACGTTATATAGTCATAAGCAATATTAGCCTAAACTAAACTGAACCCTACTGCTTACCGAAACATGTAAATATTGTTTAATCAGCGATTTTATCGAGTGCGTCTTAGTCTTATAGTTATTATTTCTAATGTGTTTTTTTTTTTTTACCTATTCGTACTCTTAAATATATATTAAATACACATCTCTTTATGTTGTAATCTTAGGATTACGCATTCTCTCAATATATTAACCAGAGATACAGACAGAAATACCGCGAAAAAGAAAGAGACAGTGGCGGAGAGAGAGAGAGAGAAAGAGAAGTGTTGTAACGAAAGCGGTAAAGGAGAGAAATTTTAGGATTGCATTAAGTGCATAAATAAGAAGAGTTATTTTATTGCCTAAACTTAAACCTCCTAAACCTAAACCTAAGCTAAAGAACACACCCTACTTATAAATCTAAAACTGATTAATAAATATATATATATATACTATATACCATAGATATATAAATATATGTATGTAATGTGTACGTTTACAAAAAACAAAACCACAAAAAATGTAATATTTAGGCTACAAAAATCAGAGAGACAGTGGAAGAGATTAGAGCGATAGAGAAAAAGAGGGAGAGAGCGAGCGAGACGAACGCGACGCTACGCGAGAAAGTGAGAAACAATTTCGGGAACAAAATATATATTTATTTTGTGTTTTTAAAATTTGTCGATAACGTGAAAAAGTCTATATCTATATATATATATATATATATATATATGTATGTATATTAGGAGTACGTCATATATTGTTCATGCAGAAAAAAAAGAAAGAAAAAATAAAACCAAAAAAAAAAAAATATAAATATATTTGTTATGTATTTGTTTGTAATTTGAGATGGTACCAAAAAGATGACTCTTCAGGAGCGGCAAGAAGTCCTTGTAGCAGTTGTGGGTATCGCCAGAGACTTCCGTTTGGGGCAAGCCATGGAGGGCACTCATGGTCACAGACTTGCATTAATTTCAAATGCGATCAGCAATAACTATTTTTCACTGTATTTTGGATTCGCTGGTACGTGATGGGTGTACTATTTAAAAATAGGGGAGAGGTGTACTATGTGTGCGGTCGGCCTGTCCGGTTTGTGCTCGGGGCGTGTTACTTGGGGTGTATCAAACAGGCGGACAAAATGCTGTGGACAAAGGCCGGGACCTGTATTTATAACTTGCGTCAAATCGGCTACAGATACCGGTAAAAAGTATAATAAAAATGCCGCCAACTCCATTTAGCGGAAAAAAAATCACAATTTTGCATTTGAAAGCTTAATATTTCCCAGACGGTAAGCTGAAGCTACATAGTGTTCAGGTCTCATTTATTGATGCATTTATCAGCTTTATAAAATGTCAAAGTTGATAACAACCAGATGTTAGATACTTAAGTTAAGTGAAAAATAGATATGAATGAATGAGCAGGTAAAAAAACATGTAAATCTAAGACAAATTTAATATTAATGTTTCAAAGCAGCTTGGGCAGAACAACAAATTTACAGGAAAAGGGTATACAAATGTCCATATGATGGCAGAAAATGGTCGACCTGCAACAATGACGTCACATTTAGTCAATATTTACGTTTTATGTTTGGCCGTTTTTGTTTGAACCCTAATATCTAAACAATCCCATTCCAAATAGGTTCTGAAAACTAGCCAATCCTAAACAAAATTTATTGAGGATTCGGATAAAATTATTTTTTTAGGGATTAGAGGGCTAACTAGCTAGTAATATTAAACGGAATATCAAATTCGAGGAATATCAACGTTGAATGTTTTGAAAAAAAAACAATCGATACTATTGTGATAGTATCGGGCCCAAATAATTATTAAAAAACCATTGAAACCTTTTAGGAACTTGTCCATTGTTAAAAATTAGATGCCACCTGTCGATTTGTTTACAAATGTGTCTTCGTATTTTATAGCAGCCAATCCAAACATATCAAAAGCGCAACGACTGTAGCTCGATACTATCATGATAGTCGCAAAACCGTCGATAGTAGAGGCTAGCAGTAAAATATCGATACTATCGATGGTTTGACACCTTTACTGAGACGGCGATGCAATTTATTTTCGATCAGGTGCGCGTCTGTTTATTCTCGTTCGTTCTAAAGGAGTGCTAAATTCGTTGTACATTCATTCAAAAAAAAAACACTGGAAGCAAACAAATTCGAGTAAAACAAACATACACAGAGTTGAGTTTTGAGCCCACACACACACACACACGCACACACACGGACACACGCAGACAGCCAACCGCGATACGGGAGCGAGACAAACGTAGAAAGGATAAAACGAATAGGAAAGAGGAAGTGGGCGTGACATACGCCAGAGGCTGGTCGTCAGGCTCCTTCCTCCCTCCTTCTACGCCCAAATTACTGTCGCTGCTCGCTGCTCCTCCTGCTGAATACAACGCGAGGTCAGAGGAAGACAGAGCAGAGGCTGGTCCCTTTTTGCATCCAAGGCTGCAGCCAGCGACTGACTGCTGGCTGACTGACTGGGACCATGTCCAAGGTGCTCAGCCCACAGAAACAGCAATCCGTCCGACGCGTCGGCATGGCCATGGGCGTGAGCGTGGCGGCTGGAGGCCTCGACGAAAGCCTGGAATTCAATGGCAGCAGCTCGATCATAGATTTCCTGGCCAAAGAGCAGGACTGCGGCGTGGACGACGATCCGGAGAGCATCTTCCAGGAGGTGAGTCGCCTCTCCGACAGCACCGACACCCGCTCCGTGGACGAGCTGCTGCAGGAGGCGGAGCGCCTCATCCAGCAGCAGCTCCGCCTGGGCGGCCTCACCACGGATACCGTTCGAACCAGGCTGAATGGCGCTGCCGACGATGGTGGCGGTGGCGATTGTGGCTACGGCAAGTGCAACGGCGATGGGGGCCAGGCGAAGGTACAGGCAAAGTCCCAGAACCAGAACCAGACCCCAAGCCATACGCCCTCGTCCTCGCCACAGTCTTCACCGCACAGCAGCATCCGGCTGAACACTCGCTTCACGCACCGCATTGAGCATTCTCCACCCAAGCCGGGCGGACAGGCCAGGGCACGAGCACTACCACCATCAGCCGCAAGCGGCCATGCCACCAGGCCCAAGTCAAAGTCATCAGCATCCCCAACACCGGCCCAGACGCCACACGAGCTGAACGGCAGCCTGGACAGCCAGACAGGCGGCGAAGGATTTGCCGCCTTCGTTGACAATCTGCCCTCGGAGTCGGTCATCTCGGATGAGTCCACGCCCAAGGACATGCACAACAATACGGCCGCTCAGCACGCTCAGCTTCAGTCGCAGCTGGACAACACAGACGATGATGAGGACACGGTGAGTGGGGATATCTAAATATTGTATATAAGCTCCTTCGTACAGGTCCCTTTCATTCCTTGAGCGACTTCCTGCACGGGGGAACTTCCTGCGGTATTAGCCCCTATTTTTATGTGTCTTTCCATTTAATACTTGGGTCGGGGGATGCTAGTTCTTTCGATGTTCCATCTTTGTGGGGTAATTTAAGCTCTGGCCTGCAATCGATTATTGATCGATAGTTATCGATGGTACCGATTACAGTATCAGCAATGAACAACGAACAATCCGGGAACTAATTGAGTTTCGGTGTTTTTTTGTTCTATGAATAAATAGCTTTGATTTGTTTATTTCCTGCCACACAGGATGAAGGATACGCACGCACACGCAGATACACACTCGCACTCACACAGACATAAATAATTAATCATCAAATCACTGGACACACTCCGACTCAGACAGACAGGCACTCCTCATCCTGGTGAAGGCGCAGAGACGCAGAGATTATCCAATGGCCTGGGCCACCGTCTCGGCCACGGTCCAGCCCTCGAGGGCCGTGTCCTTGATGAACTTGGGGGGCAGCACAAAGCCGTAGGCACCGCGATCTCGCAGCTCCACGGTATACACGTACTTGACGCCGAGGGACGCCCGACTCCAATCGTCGGAGCCGCCGCCGGCAATGCCCAGCACCTCGTGGGTGACCGCTGCCTGATAGGTGCTGCCGGTTTTCTGGGAAATGCGCTGGACGGCCGTATTGCCGACACGCTGCAGCACGCTGGCATCCTTCACCTTGACGGCCTTGTATGCCCACGGATAGACGATCATCTGGCCGTAGCTGTGGTAGGTTAGATACGCCTCCAGGTTGTACTTGCGCTTGGCGAGGAACTCGCTCACGACCTTCGTCTCCGCCTCCGAGGCGGGTGACGCGCCGCGGAACGTGTCACTGCAGGGATTCGTCGAGGAGCCGTAGCCCGCCCATCCAATGTCAAAGTTACGATTAAGGTCAACACCCACGCAGTTGGAGCGCCGCGATGGCGATCGATTCTTGCGCCACAGGCGGTTCGTGGTGCGGGTGTACTCGTAGCCATCGGGATTCATCACGGGCATGATGTACCAAGTGAGGCCGCGAATGTGAGCTGGCTGGTTCTCCCAGTTGGACATCAGCTGGTACAGGATGAAGGTCACCGTCGCCGGGCTGATCCACTCGCGGGCATGGATGCCACCGTCTATCCAGATTTTCTTGTACTCGCGTGGATTCTCTGAGATTCTGAAGCACACAAAAGTGAAGCATACTTTTAGGCATATTGTTGGGGAAAAAGGCAGACCCCCCAAAAGGGGTGGGGTGGGAGGTGCACCTACCTTAGGACCTTCAGGTCGCGACCTTCAGCCGTCTGGCCAATCGTGTACAGGCGGACAATGTTGGGGAACTTGCTGCGGATCTCCCTCATGAAGGCATAGATGGTCTCCAGGTCGTGGTAGTCCTTCCAGTGCATGCTGCTCCTCGTTGCCTTTTCTGTGCGGTTCAAGGAATCAAATAAGACATCGTCCTTCTTCCTCCCCCCCATTCTCTTCCCATGAACTTACTTGTTCTCTTGCCAGCGTCCGCTGTGGTGGCATTGATGCCATCCATGTGCTCCTCGTCGATCAGTGCCTGGACATTATCGGACAGCACTTGGGCATCCAGGCGCTGAGCATTGAGAAAGGTGCGCGCCGCCATCAGCTGCTCCTTGCCGATGGATATGTCCAAAAACTTTGAGTTCTCCTTCCATATGTTGCCACCGAACTTCTGCTCGAGCACCTGGCCCACGGGCACTTGCCGCTGCATCGCCTCCGAAATGTTGTGGATCCTCCACAGCTGCGTCTCGTCATATCTCTGGGGTATCTCGTTCACGTCCAGCGCCAACTCCATCGCCATCGCTTCGGTTTTGTCCATCATCTCAGCATCTGTCTGGGCTGATGATACTGCTACTGCTGCGGTTGCTATCAGCAGCAGCAGCGGCAGTAGTGGGGCTGACGCGGGACTTGGCAGCGACATGGTTTCGCTGGTTATCAGTCGTAATAGCTGGGAAAACAAACAGAGTGTTATCAGTTCGACTCTCGGTCTGGGACTGCGATGGAGATGCGATGAGATGCCAGTCCTAAGTAATTGCCTTCCCATTTAGCTATGTGGCAGTGATGCCCATTTAATTGAAGTTCTGGCTACAGTGCTGCCCATTTGACTGAAAGTATCTCTCCAGTGCTGCCCATCCAGAGACTGGATCTATCATCCCAATAAAAAAGTGCTGCACAAAGCGCTTACCTGGCTAACCTTTACGAGTATATTCTTACCAAGCGATCACTCTTGAAGCTAAACCCGAAACTACTTGCTATATAGTAGGTCTGCTATCACTGGAAAATCTTCTACACGTTTAAACACTCAAAAGTAACGCTCTGCAGTCGAGTTTACTTGACTGCCTTGATTGAAACTTGGCCTGTTTAGAGGGAAATTCGAATTAGGTAGCGAAACTCTGGCGATAATCGCAATTTTAATGGAACCAATCCGAATGAGGGCTCTGCAACCAACTGCCAATCTAACTAACAGAATTGAAGCTTCTGGCTTAAATCGAGTGTGCAAAGGTCATCTAATTGCCGCACAAAAACTACAAAATATATTTCCGTTCCATTGTTAATGGCAACAGCTATCGTATATAAATATGAACAAACATGTAACCAATCGTGTGTGTGTTTTTTTTTTTTTCGTTTGTTCAAGTAATTATAGATAGTGGATCATTTTGTGGCCCATTTTCAATAATGCAATTACGAATAGTTAATACTGAGGATTACTGGAGCTTGAAGATCTTTCTGCCGGACACAGTCATAGTACCCCACACTGTCCTCAATGTCTGTCTGTCCCGTCCCAAGTTCATTGCCGAAATTTGAATTTTTTATTTACTGATTCCACTGACGTTCGATCGTTGTTCGATCGAACCACTGTGGCCTGAGCCTGAGCTTTGGCTTGTGGATTGGTGATTCGTATTCGTAATGGTTCTATTCCTCTTTGAATGTGATTGGAATGCACGATACCCCCCCCCACCCCCACAAGCTATTGAATGGGCTAATGGAATGGAATGGCGCATTAGCTGGAGAGCGCGCAGCACAGTTAGTGATCGGGAGACCCTGATCTAAATCCAGGTATGGAAAACTATCAGTAAACGATCTCAAAACCTCTTTTTTTTTCACGTGACTGTGCTAATTTCCCAGTCCCGTATATGGGTTTATTTTTATTTTTATGTGTGTTTTTTTTTTGTACAGATGCGTATTTGTTTATCTGTTGTGTTTATTTTCTTTTATTGCCTTTATTGCCATGCAGAAAGTGGCACTTCGGAGCACGGGGTCTCCGAGAACAGGTTCTCTCGAGCAAACCCAAAACCAAATCGGTTTCGGAGTCGGCGTCGGACGAACGTGGATGTGTTTGTAATTACCTAGACCTTCGTTTCAACACAGAGCTGTAAACTTTATGCTGCCCCAGACCCAAAACTCTTGACCTGGTCCTGCACTTTCCTCGAGCGGCCAACAAAAGCAAAAGCCCAAAAATTGAAACTCGTTTCGGGAGGTAAACCTGTTTTTTGGTGTATCGGATCCCCGTTCCCATTCCCACTTTCCACTTCCACTCCCGTTCCCGTTATATGCAAATGAGCTTCCTCATTCGATTACACTTCCTATCTCTGGCAGCTCCCGCCGCCCTGCCGCCCAATCGTCCGTCCATTACCCATAAGCATAAGCGAATTTCATTTCATTTGATTTGTAGCTTACTCTTTGTGGTGGTTGCTCTTGCCGGCTGGACTCTCTGGGAGAGAGAGCGAAAGAGAGTGCGCTTTGCGTGCGTACTGTAACTGGCGTGCCGTGCCTACTTTTGTGCGTGCTGCCGTGCGTGCGCTTGCGTATTCGAAGAGAGCGCTGTGTGTAACGGGATGACAGGCTGACACCAGACTAAATGCTGCGTTTGTATGCGCTTCAATTTTTATATTGCCGCTCTGCCAGAGATCAGTGCAGGGGGAAAACAAAACAAAACAAAAAACAACAACAACAAAAAACCAAAAAAAAAAAAAAAAATATAAAAAAAACGCCAAAACCCGTGAATTACAATAACAGCGAAAAACCGAAAAACACACACACACACAGGCAAACAAACAAACAAAAAAGAGCAAATCTGTTGTAAAAATTGCGCTGAACACGACAACCGATCTTGGAGCGATCGTCGCGTACTGAATGGGACGACAGTCGCAGCAGCACCAGCAGCAGCAACAGCAGCGGCTGCGCTTTACAGGCAGGTGAGCTCAGAAGCGCCAGCGTCAGCAGCAGCGTGGCAGCGAGAGAGTCACACACTTACGCATGGAGTGGAGCATCTATCCCTGTCTGGCCTGCACGCTGGAATGCTGGCCGAGCTGTTTCTGTGTGTGCGAAGAGAGAGAGAGAGATACCAAGTACAAGTACGAGTCAGAGTGCAGAGTGCCCACGCCCACGCTGCAGTACTTGTCTGCCTGGCTGCAGGGTTAAGTGCATTAACAGCCCGCGACATTGACATTTGGTGACGTCTTACACACACACACAGACAAAGCCACAGACTTGCATCGATGGCGGTGCTGCCAACTTGCCGAAGCGTTTGCCAAGATCTTCCCGGATCGATATGATTCAGAGACAAAGTCCAGTCATTAATCTCCGTGACTCTACCTCCACGATCCCAACGATCAGTGTTGTTGTTCAATGATTGCTAATGCCCTAAAGAATGTGAAGCTGTCCGCTGGACGGACAGGATGAGATGCATGAGGTCAGAATTACTGTGTGACGCTTATCGTTGAGGGTTTTTCCGCGGAATTAAGGAACTTCCCATCAGAGCTCCTATCTATTTCTCGTGCTTCCTCGTTTTCTCGCTCTTGATGTGTGGATTGAGCAGCGAACTTTTACGGTTTACATTAACATTTCAAACAAACACACACACACAGAGAGAAAATTTAAGTGCGTTGCTGTAAATTTGATTTAATTTATTTACCTCTGAGAATCGCTGAACGCATCGCAGTTTACATACCCGGCACTCGTCGATGTACAAAGGGTATATTAGATCCGCACTTTGACCTTAACTGATAACTTAACAGTAAAGCTATTCACTATCGGAATCCTTAGAGCTTAAACTCTGCAACCATATTTACCCTTCGGGTACAGGGTATTTCATTGTCGAGGCGGCTCTCCACTTTTCCGTTCTTTGAGCGCGGCTCAATTGTCGCGCACACACTACTGCAGCACTGCACGTGTGTGTGTGTGTGCTGTATGACTGGGCAATTTTTGACCCACTTGGCGAGATTTTACTTTCTTTCGCCTTTTAATGTGAATGCTGCGGATGATCAGGCAGGCTGGTGGCTGCTGCCTGCTGGCACCTTCTCCATGGCCACCAACAACACCACCATTCTCCCCTCCCCACCCCTCTGCCACTACTCCCCCTATTTTTGGAGTCTTTCGCCCTGGGGCCATTGTTGTTACATATTTTATTTATTTATTTTTGTGGCCAGATTTTCACTTTTAACCCTTTTTTTTCGAGAGAGGCCAGCACCGCCACAATGGTAGTGCAGCATTTCTTTTGTGATCGCTGCTGATCGCTGTCCAGTCTGTACAATCTGTACCCCCTATGACAGACACGAGCATAGCATCAGTGGCGGCTTATTTCCCTAAATTCTTTTGTGCTTGGGACTTTCTTCTACTTTTGATTCTTCACTGATTGTCAGTACAGTGTTTAAAGTGCTATGAATGAAATATTCTCGCCACTGCCACTGCCACTTCCTCCACTTCTTCATCTACTCAAGCTGTGTTTCTCGTTTCTCGTGTGAATAACTTTCTTTGGTGGGTCTGTCTTCGGAGCTTTGCCTTGCTTGCCTGCCTGCCGGCCGATCGATCGTTTGCCTGCCTGCCTGCCTGCCTGCCTGGCGGTGCCTTTCGCTACCGCTACCGCGCACCGATACCCATAATTTCTATATACAAAATCAAATATGCAACAAAATAATGAAAACAAAACGCCATCTAAAGTTGAGCTTACTGGTTTTCTATAACGCGATTGAAAGTGAAAGTTTCTCTCCATTTCTCTGTCCGTCTCTCACTCCTTGTGTCTGTCTACCCAACCACCTCTCTCTCTCTCACTCACTCTCACTCTCGCTCTCACTCTGTCCAGCTCTTTCGCTCTTTGATAGCTTTCTATTTGTGTGTTTGCTGAACATTCTTTTTCGCCAATTGGCTCGTTTACATAACGCTAACGCTCAACGTTAATGGGGGGGTGGGGGGCGCTTGAATATGCGCGATTGCGAAATCTTAATCTTAAGACCCTCTGCCATAGATCACGTGGGCCATGGCCCGAGACCCAATGCACGGCACAGCTTTCCATGCCAGCAACTGGACGGGCCAGCGGGCCCCCCTCGAGAACATCTTCGAATCGTTGCCCGTTTTAGCAAAGTTACTACAAACTGTTCTACATATGTATGTATGTATTTATGGCTAAAGCTTTGATTTGCACGATCCGCCCCAAAGTAGGCAACGGGTTTCTCTTTCCATTTTTTTGCCTTGCCTAAATTTATTGCTGTTGATTTCGGTTAGGCTTAGAAATCGTTACTGAAAGTTACTTCATTTGCCTATCTAATCTAATATGTATCTAATATTCACTCTATTCCTCTTTGATGCTTTCTATACGGGGAAGAGGAAGAGCAGGAAACAGTGCAAAACCTTTTCTGCTCCTGCTCGGCTCTCAGTAGAACACTTGGGCTCTCGCCCTTCATAGCTGACATATCAGAAATATCCACAATCTGTTCCAGAAACGTGGCAAATTTTAGGAGCGCTTTAGCTGCTGAGATCGCGTCTCACCTGGCAGTGATAAGGCCTGCGTGTGTGAGCCTGACAGCGCCCTAACCTAACCTAATGAATAAATAAATATTAAAAGTGAATTAAAAACACACATAGCCATATCATTTTGTACCGTTCTTATATATTTTATGATTGAAACTTAACATAATTTAACCAATTATTTTACTTCGATGTGAAAATCAACAAAAGTTAATTTTTTTTCGGCATATTTTTAAATTATTCATTTTTTTCCTTTATTATTAGCTCCGAAAAGAGAGATCATTCATGATAGAAGTTCCTTTCGCGAAGAACTTACAAATTCAAATAAAAAAAAAAAATGCACAGAAAAATGGCAAAATCACGGCTAACGGTATATTTTTTGTTACTTTCATCAACCCAATAAATTGTTGACCCTCCGTTTTGCTGTATTTTTTCGTGCCAATTTGCTTAACATTAAATTGAAAGCTATAAAAAAAGAGTATAAATAATTTTGTTGGGTAACATTTTTAATGCACAAAATCCATGGAAATATACATAAATAAATACTACCACTAAGCAGCACTAAGCTGAATGGCTGCCCAATTGGTCCAATGGCAATAGTTCAGTGGGTCAGTGAAAGGAGCCTTTTGGCATTGGCTACAAGGCTCAGCCTCAGCATATGGGCTTCCTAGACAGAGTATATCTGATCTACCATTGCTATCAATAAGTTGTTAAGATGCGAGCATGAATCGTTATAGCAGGCATCGGCGCGTCCCTATCTATTGTGCATAGGAAAAGGCGCTGTATTACACGTGTATTACACAGTGGGTTTTCTGCCCGATAAAATGTTCCGTTCCGTTCCGTTGCCTGCTGCTTACGCACACAAAGGCACTGAAAAACATGTGATTGTGTGCGTGCCGACCACTGCTTTATGGCGATGATCGACACTTGAATCCCTATCCCTGCATTTATTATCCACATAAATGTCACCAATGGAATGCAGTTTTGAATTTAATTCATTTAAATTAATTAATTAAAAAAAAAGAAAAAAAGAGAATAAATTACTACAGTTACGGGGAGGAGGAAGAGACTTTGTGGGGCGCAGAGACTTTGCTGCTCACTGCAGCTGCTGGGCGATGGTGCGCAGAAAGTCGTAGACCTCCTCGCCGGACTCCACAATGTAGTGGGGCGGCATAAGGTAGCCGTAGCGACCCTGATCCTTGAGGAACACATTGTACACGAACTGCGGCTCGATGCGATCCTGCACCCAGTCGGCGGAGTTGCCCGGACGTGCCAGCTTCTGGCGGTAGCTGGTGCCCGCAGAGTACTCGGCCTGGTTGAGGCGCCGCAAATTGAGCACCGCCTGGCGGGCCGTCTCCCTCAGCTGTCGCTGATTCTCCGTCACGTAGTCGGCATCGCCCCACGGATAGGTAACGGTCTGGCCATAGCCACCCAGGGAGACATAGCCGCCCAGATAGTCGCGCATTCCCAGCAGAAAATTGCGCAAAGCCCGCGTCTCGGGCTCGGAGAAGCGCGCGGCGCCTTTGTACAGATTCTTGCAGGGATTACCCGTGGATCCCGCCGCACCCCAGCCGTACTCGAAGTTGCGATCCAAATTGACGCCATAGCAGCCGCTGTCGCTGTCATAGCCGCGATTCTTTGTCCACAGGCGATCCGTCTGGCGGGAGTACTGGTAGCCATCGGGATTGGCCAGCGGCAGGAAGTACCAGTCGATGCGGCGCATCATCTTCTCCAGCTTGCCCTCCGTCCATAGGTGCGTCAGCTTCGATATGGCATAGGTGAGGGCAGCGGGACTGAGCCAGTCGCGGGCCTGCAGTCCCGCATCCACAAAGATGGCCCAGTTCTGTGGCTTGCCATTCGATACCCTAAGAAGGGGAAAGGGTCAGACCAAATGAGAGACGATTCCCATGCCATTGTCCATTGGGGTACGCACCTGATTACCTCCAGTGGTCGCTTGTTGCGTGTGACACCGATCTGAACGATCTCCACCAGCTCCGAGTGGGCGTCGAGCTGCGTTTGAAGGAACTGCTGGATGTCGCCGTGGTCGTGATACCGCCGCCAGGTCAACAGCATACCCTCACGCTCCAGCCAGGGCCGCGACTGATTCTGCTGGCCCTCGTCGTTGAGACCCTCAAGCGATGCCACCTCTGCGTATGTCTCGTCAATGGCCGTCTCCATGTCGTCGATCATCACGTTGTAGCTGAAGCTCACCTGCTGCATGAACTGGCGGGCAGCGGCCACGTTCTTCTGCTCGATGACAATGTCAATGCCGTCCTGGTTGATGTTCCACACCTCGCTGCCTGCAAACAGAACAGACAGAACAGAACAGAACAGAATAGACACTTGAATTCGGCTGTGGGTCAGTGGATGGGTGGGCTCTAAGCTACCAAAGTGCCGCCAGAAGGCTCTGAGCTGCGGCTGGCTCAGTCGCGTCTCGTGCAGCTTCCACAGCTGATGGCCGTAGTAGCGCTGCACCGTCGAGCTGTTCCTGTAGCGTCGATTTATCTGATAGGAGGAGCTCGGCGACACGAAATCGAATCGTCGCAGATCCATCGGCGACAGCCACTGCAGACTCTCGAAGGTGGTGGCATACAGATCGCTGCCATTGAGCGACCACAGGGCCAGCGGCAGTTCGGACAGGCCCGAGAGCTCCGGCAGGGCGACACTGCGCCAGAGCAGCAGCTGGCCAAGGCTGTTGGGGATCATCAGCAAAGCAGTCAGCAATACAGTCAACAGCAGCAGCAGCAGCATCGCGCTTCAAGCCACGCTCCACGGCCGAAATCAGAACTGAAACTGAGCCGCGCTCCCCCCATCGAAAGAGGGTCGCGTTCTGGGGTCGCGGTTAACGGTTCTTCTTTCCGAATTCTCGGTCCATTCTCATGGATTTATGCTAAATTTATGCGTGACCTGACCTGCCCTGCCCTGGCCTGGCCAACCCCTCCACTCCCCTCCCCTTCCATTTCCCCTGATTTATCGATTATTCTTTTTGTTGAATTGAATTTCTGCCGCTGGCCGCTTGACAATTTTCTCTTCTCTTCGCTTCTCTTCGCTTCGCTTCGATGAGGGAATCGCTTTATAATTGGACGCGCCCTGGGAGGAGCAAGTGGAGCTCGACCTTTTTTGTTGTGCTGTTCACTCACCAAACTTCTCCACCACCTCGTTGAACTCCGCATCCGGGGAACCAGATTGCTGCTGCTCCTCCTCCTCTTCCACGCTGCCCTCGACACGGGTGACATTGAAGTTGAGCTTCCAGAGCTGCCAGCCGCGGTAGGTCACATGATTGGCATCCAGCTCGCTGCGCAGCTCCGAACGACGGCCGCCCGGCCGGGCCGGATCAGTGGCCGCAGCCTCCAGGGGTCGCAGATAGTGCAGCAGTTGACCCACGCCCCCTCCGAAGAAGGGCAGGCGGAGCCGCAGTCGATTGTCGGTGCGCGCGAGTGTCGTACGCCTGGGCCGGGCTCAGTTCGCACAGCAGAAGGCACGCCCCTGCCAGTGCCACTGCCACGAATGCCCATGGATGTGGGTAGATGAGCTGCATGATTCTTCGCTTTCTCTCTCTCTCGCTCGCTTCTCTGTGCTGGAGCAAATCTGGAATGTCTGTGCGTTCGATTTGGCTGTTGATTTGGCTTTAATGTGTTCGATTTGTTTGGCGTTCGTCAGCCTCCCGTCCAGATTCCAGACTAACGGGGCTTCTCTACGTTCTCAATTCTCCATTCTCTGCTTCTCCATTCTTTGCCTCTCCCCGTTTCCAATTAAGGCCATGCCGTGCGCCATCGCATTTGCATAGAACGATCCATCGAATTGGGCTGCTCCATGTATTTATGCTTCTGTTTAAAGCTGAACTTTTACTTTGGGCTGTGGGCTGTGCTAATATATGCCACGTCTGTTATACTCGTGTGCTACAGCTAGCGAGTGGCGGGTCCAGCAGTTGTGAGTATTTGGATATGGTAAAAATTATTGTGATATGGCTGTCATCCATGCGATTTGATTTTGTGATGTGATTGTCTCGCTATTATATGGCTATCTTGTAGACAAACGAAATTCTCGCTCATTCAATTCGTGCCTCTTCGTTTAAATGTTGTGCCAACGAGCCTTATCTTACGTAAGCGCGCTCATTCACACAAAAACTCGTGTCTTTCTATTATTGTTTTGTGTCATTCTTGCATGTATGTATAGGCATATGGCACATACATATGTACATACTGTTCTACTGGCTAAGCAAAGCTTGGCAAAGCGTTGAGCTGCTATATTTTGTTGTGGGTTGTAAGGGGAGGAGGCTGAAACATGTTACTGAGCCATATAAATATTAGACAAAATTACATTTATGTATTTGTGGCTGTTATATAAGAGGTAGGGCTTCAACTTTGGTTTCCAGACTCATGTAAACCAGCAACTGTATTGAAATTGACGCTCGCACAACGGAACGGGCTGCCACTAAAGTTGTTAAAGAAATCACCGAAACTTTTTTTTTTCATTTCTTTTTTTTTTTAATAAACATTTTCTAGTTAATTTTGATGAGCTTTTTTTGTTGTTGTTGAGGGCTGCCACTAAAGTTGTCAAAGAAATCACCGACACATATTTTTTTTTTTATTTTTTTTTTTTTAAATAAACATTTCTTAGTCAATTTCGACTGAGTTTTGTTGTTGTTGTTGAGGGCTGCCACCAAATATTAGACAAAATTGTCAAAGAAATCACCGACACATATTTTTTTTTTCATTTCTTTTTTTTTTTAATAAACATTTCTCAGTCTATTTCGATGAGTTTTGTTGTTGTTGTGTGTGTGTTTTGTGTTTTTGTTGTTCAATTTGTCTAGTTACAAGTACAATAAATTATTAAATAAATAAATAGTTTTCATATAAATAGCGCAAAAAAAAAAAAATAAACCCATCCTTGGGCAGATAAAAACAAAAAACAAAAACAAAAAAAAATTTTGCATTTAACTAGGTCCCAGGCACACTTGTTGCCTGCATTCTAGTGGCGGCGTCGACTGCTGCCTCTGCCGCTGCTGCTGTTCCTGGCCACCGCCTTGCCACGCCCCTGGGCTATGGCGCGGGCGACGGTGTCGGCGAAGGTGTAGCCATCCTTGCCATTGTACTGAATGAAGCGGGCGGGCAGGACGAAAGCCATAGCGTCCAGTGTCACCCATCTCGATGGTGTATGCATACTTGATGCCGGCAATGCCCTTGGCCCAGTCATCGGAGCCACCGGCGGCCGGATAGAGTGTGGTGGCCGAAGAGCCCACCGTATACTTGACGCCCGTCGACTTGGTTATGCTCTACGTGGCAGAGAGAGAGATCAGGAAGTGTATGTGTTAGGTTGGCTACAAAAATTCATTGAGACATAGAGATTTGTGAATCACTTACCGTGCCTGCCTGGCGCGCCACACGATCCAGATCGGCTCGATCCTGGGTGAGCTGGTAGTCGTAGCCCCACGGATAGAGGATATACTGGCCGTAGCTGTGGAAGGAGAGGTAGGCCTGGAAGGTTTCGCGCGGAAAGCCGCTGATGAACTTTGAAATGTAGAAGGTCTCCGGCTCGGAGAAGGCCTTGCTGCCGCGATACGTCTGCGAGCAGGGACTGGCCGAGGTGCCCTTGCCGCCCCACTTGTAGCCAAAATTGCGATTGAGATCGACGCCGGGACACTGCCGGCCATGGGCGCGCATATTCTTGCGCCACAGCCGATCGGTGGTGTGGGAGTACTCGTAGCCATCGGGATTCGCCACCGGATGGATGTACCAGTTGATGCTGCGCATATGCTCGGGCAGATCCTCCCAGCCCTCCGCCAGCTGGTTGGCAATGAACGTCACTGTGGCGGGACTGATCCACTCCCTGGCATGCATGCCACCATCGATCCAAACGCCCGGATTGCGTGCATTTCCATTGGAGATTCTATTGCGGCATGGATGGTCAGTATGTGGTGCATGGTGCATGGTGCATGGTGGTGCCTCCGATTTGAGTGGCAAAACTTACTTGAGTATCTTGAGGGGTCGCTTCTCCACGGAGTAGCCGATGATCTCGGTGGAGCAGATGTCCGGATAGGTCTTTGCCATGTAGTCAATGAAGCCGTGTATGTCCTCCAGGCGATGGTAGGCCTGCCACGTCAAGCGGTGTCCTGTGTGGGGTGGGGTGGGAGTGGGAGTGGGAGAGAGCAACTTAGCAACTTGGTTCGTTCAACTTGTAACAAACCCCCCAACCCCCCCAGGCCTGAGTCCCTGAGCAACCCCCTCGGTCTTAGCCGATCCTGACCTTTCGACTTGTTCTTTCCGCTTCTTGTCTGAAGACAAGAACAGCCTGGCCGTCGGTATCGATTAAACAACTGTAGCAACTCCACTTCCTGCTTGCTTGCTTGCTTCTTCTTCTTCTGCTGCGGTGCGTGGCACGTGGCGGGGCCCATGGGCGGGTGGGTTTTCCTATGGCAAACCCTTTGCCGTAAGTCTCAATCCAGCTCGAGCCGGCGTCCTGCCACTTTTCGCTTGATGACTTTTCACACGCCCTGCCCCCCCCCCATTAAATGCTCGTTTGTGGCGACACCTAGTCCAACCCTGTCCCTGTGCCCTGTCTCAGTCCCCCAACCAACTGAACCACCTGTCTGTCAGCCCCCACACTCACCCTTGCGGTTCTGCAGCTCGGCTATCTTCTCCGCCGGTGGATTCTCCACCTCGATGACATGCTGCAGGTTGTCGATTAGCACGATCCGGGATAGATTGGCGGCACGGATATGACGCTCCGCGGCAGCCAAGACCTGCGGCTTCAGCAGATAGTCCACCTCCTGCTTCACCTCCTTCCACAGCTGGCCATCTAGATGGGAGGAGTGGAAACATTAGCGTGACATCCTTGGAGGAGGTGCGCCAGTGTGCATAACTTACCGTATTTGGATTGCAGCTCATCTGCCAGTCGCTTGTCCTTGTCCGTTTGGACGACAATGCGCCACACCTGGGCGCCATCGTAGCGTCGCAGATGGGCATTGAAGGGGCTTTCCTCCTCGGGCTGCTCCTCCGGTCTGGGCAGATCCGCCTGCGGCTGCTGCTGCTGGAGCAGGAACGAGGCATTCACATAGTTGAGCACACTGTCGGCCACCTGAAGGGGCAGCTGTGCCATCGTCTCCTTCGCCGGCTCCGACTGGGGCTTCGCTGGGGACTGTGGCAGCACTGTCGGTATAATGGTGGTCAGCATGGATGGCTCTGCGGTCAGCTCAGGTTGGGGGGTCTCCACCACAGCCACAGGCACAGCCACAGGCTCGGCTTCGACTGCCACTTCGACGGGCGTCTGTTCCTTTTCGGCTTCCGCTTCGAGGGATGCTGGCTGGACTTCCATTTCTGGCTCAGCCTCTGGCACTGGTTCTGGCTGTGATTCCATTTCGGGCTCCTGCTGGGCCACCACTGGCTCCACCTGGTTGTTACCTTCGGCATCGTTCTGGTCCTCCTCCCTGTCAGCCTCGATTGGGGATTGGGTTTCGTTCTCCGCCACAGGCTCTGGCTGTTGTTCTTCCTGCTCGATTGCTGCCTCGTCGGCTGCCTCCACTGCTGCCTGTGGCTGCTCAGTCTCGGCCTCAGCTGGCACAGCAACGTCTGAAGACTGGGGGGAAATCTCTTCTGGCTCATCAGCTAGAATCTGAATCTGTTGGGCTTCCTGCTCTGCTTCCTGCAACTCTTCAGGCTGGACTGCTGCTGCTGCTGCTCCCAGGGACAGCTCCTCGTTGATTGGTGCCGCTTCTGTGGCTGGGGACTGCTCCTCCTCGACCTCCTGAGCCACTGGCTCACTGGTCTCGGCCTCGGGCTCCTCTAGCTCTGCTGGTGATTCCTTGTGCTGCTCCTCCTGCTGCTGCTCCTGCTGCTGCTCTTGCTGCTCTTTCTGCTTCTCTGTCTGTTTGTCTTCTGTTGCTTCTGCAATCTCCTCGGGCACCAGGTGGTCCATGGCAGCGGTGAGGCCTTCTTCGATGCCCTTGACCATGCTGTCCATCAGGGATGCTTCTGTGGTGTCCACCTCATTCTCACTGGGTTTCTGCTCCTCTGGCACGGCTTGGGACTCCACGTGCGGCTCCACTTGGGGCACCACTTGGGGCTCGGATTCAGCTTGAGCTTGTTCAGGCTCAGAAATCTTTTCTTCCTGCTCTGGCTGTGGCTGTGGCTCTGCCTCTGACTCAGGCTCAGCTTCTGGCTGCGTTTCGGGATCCTCCTGTGGCTGCTGCTGTTCGGGCTGGGAATTTTCCGCCTCCTGCTGCTTCTGCTGCTGGTGTTCTGGCTCCTCCTCTGCTGGGGACGGAGGCTGCTTCTGGATCCGCAGACTGTTCGAGTTCCTTTTCCACTTCTTCAACGGCTTCGGCAATGATTTCAGCAGCACTCTCCGTGGCCGTACTGGGCTCATCCTCATCCTCCGCGCCTGCCGCTGGTTCATCATTGGAGGGCACGCCCTGCTCCTCCTGCACCTGCTCCTCTTCCTCCTCGAGTGGAGCTGCCGATGGAGCCGCCTCTGTGGCTGTTTCCACGGCCTGCTCGGCGTTCTCCAGCTGCGCCTCCTGGCTGCTGCCGAGCTTCTGGTTGCTGGCGACTGTTCCCTCCACCGAATGCTCCACCACATGCTCTTCGATCATCTCCGGCTGGCTGTGGATCTCGGCCTGGGTGTCGGGCACTGCTTCTGGCTCGCCTTCTGCTGCCGTTTCGGCCACGGTAATGTCGCTGGGCAGCTCCACGAGCTGCATGGCCGGCGTGTCGTCGCTCTCCAGCATGAGCATGTCCGAGCTGCCCGGCAGTTCGGCGTCCGCATCGGATTCGGCTGCGCTCTCAATTGTGTTGCGATCCGCTGCATCCAGCTGGCTGGCCACCGACTCCGGCACCAGCATGTACATGTCCGTATCGCCACCGGCGGTGGGTAGCGAGGCCAGCTTCATGTCATCCACCAACAGATTGTTCTGCTGCTGCAGCTGTTCCGATTGGACTGGGACTGAGGCTGGGGCTGGGGCTGGCAGCTCGTTACGTTCGAGGGCGAGGCGATCCAGCGACATGGCCGTCGTCTGCATGGCGACGCCCAGAAGGGTGCCAGCTATGGTGAGCAAGATAATGGGACTTGGACCGGGACCCGTCCTTAAAGCACTACGCGATCTCCCGTTGTACATCTTTGCGAGATCTGACACTAAACCGTAATGAGACATGTCCCATTCGTGGAGTGTCGCTTTTATACCAGCGCTGGGAAAGTATTGCCATTTCATTTTCGATATTTCTCTCAGCTGCCGCAGCCAGCGGCCAGCCAGCTGCTGCGTCGACAGCAGCAGCAGCAGCAGCAGCAGCAGCGGCGTTACTTACAGTGGGCTACCCGACAGAGCTGTTGTCCCATGTGCATGTGTGTGTGTGTGTGTGTTTGGAGCAATCGTGTTATGTATGTAAATGCGGCATTGGCCCCCGCTTCGCAGCGCACCGCACCGCACCGCACCGCAGCTTGTGCAGCTCTTCCTTGTGGAGAGTCTCACCGCCCCGCCCCTGCTTATCGGCTGCACGAATCTTCAGCCCCAAATTGTCTTGATCTTTTATGTAAATCTCCCCCCACCCCCCCCATACGATGGCAGGCAAATGTCGCCAACGACAATGACAATGACAATCGGCATAACCATATGGCAGGCATCCATGGCATCCCCGCTCTCGCTTTCTTTTGGGGCCTGGAGCTGGTAGCTGGAACTGGAACTGAACAAAAAAATAAACAAAACAAAATGAATTATCAAAGTGCCAGTGAATAGATTCAATTTCGATTATTTTAACTTTCTTAAGCGATTACATGCATAAATCGCAGCTTAGCACGGAGGAATTTAGTTCCAAAGTTGAATTTAGATTTATAAAAAAAAAATTAATACATTAGAATAATTATTTAATTAATAATAAATAAAAAATATAAACGATAATTTTCAACATTTCCCCTATAGAAACTGTGGAACTGGAACAGGGCAACTCCTTTGGGCGCTTAACAATTTACTGGGGCAAAAGGGAAAACTTTTCATTGCTTTTCTTTTGCGGATTAATTAACATTTATAATTATGTATTTATGTGCTAAAATGCTGTCATCTGTCATAATTATAATTATCGATTGCTCGACTTTCTATGTGCACAGGCACACGCCCCCCAACCGCCTGTTCTGCACTCCCATTGCCACTGCCACTGCCACAGCGCTCTCCTCTTATCATTGAGGCCATTCTGAAACTCCATTTCCATTTACATATTTAACTGCAACTGAATCAGGCCTCAGTTTATAATCGATTTCAATTGGCAATTGCGTGTTAACTGCTCGAGCAATGCCGGCATTGCTCATATTGTTACTGGAATTGGGTACACAGTATCCATATGATAATATGGATTATAGCCAGCTATAGCTAGCAGTGAAGTGCAGCAGGATGGGCGCACCCACAGGGTACATATGTATGTATGTATGTACATACGTTCTGGATTGATCCGTTGATTGATTCATTCATCGTTGGATGCTTCAGTACGTATGTATGTATGCTTGGCATACACACTCAATGTGTTGTTGTTTTGTTTTGTTGTTGTTGTTGTTTTGTTGTTTCGCGCTTCAGAAAAGTTTCCAATTTTGTGGCTCATTGACATGATTTCTGAATAAATGTACATGCATACATACATATGTATACAGATTTTTATTAAATACTCGACATCCACATCTTATGGCTGTTGTCTGTTGGCTGGTATTACCCCACGCTCCTCCCTCTGCTGTCTAATCAACCCGCACCTCGTACCGCGCGCAAACAATTGGCGCCGTTACCATTGCTGTTGGCTGTTGCTGTTGTTGGCCGCTCCTTTCACTTTATAAGTGGAGTTTATCAAATGACAATTGAGGAAGAGCGAGAGTTCAAGTAATTGCAAAGCAACACACACACACACACACATAAAAATTGCTGGAATTACCTGGGTCAAGTAGTGAAATTGTCCTTAATACTACACTACACTGCACTGCACAACACACAGGCCACTCTTTACGGCATAGCAAATGTCCATCAGTGGGTCGCACTTATGCGCAATCTTTTTGTTATTTTTTACTCGATACTAGATATTGATTATAGGATATACTCGTAAAAAGTGAACCCTTTTTGGCATATGATTATACTTATTATATGTATTTGTAAGCTTAAACGAAGGCGCAAACCCCAAGTCACAGTAATTTGCATCCATTGCATCTCCATTTCGCCATTCCGCAATTCCAGCATTCCTGCAGAACCCTTCTTAACAGCGATACTCAATGTGCGCCGCGTCATGTGAGAGAGCGTGCCCAATAGGATGTGTATGAATAGGCGCGAAGTGTACGTATTCCCGCCACGCGCGCTCTCTCTTCGGAGCTTATTTCGCTCGTACAAACTGCAGACACAACAGCAAATTTAGTTCTAACTGGATGTGTGTGTGTGTGTGATAAATAAGACCCGAAAGAGAGGAAACACAACAGCTTATTATAGTTTCATCATGGGGCGAGTCTCTCTCTCTCTCAGTCGTGAAATTTCGGATATGTAGATATGTACTCATAATGTAACTCATATGAAGAGGGCAGGATCAAGATCAACAGGCGGTTCGTTACATACATATGTACATATGTTCATACATTGTAAAATATTCTGCAATCACACTTAAGGAGATTCCAATCGTAAGCGCATACAAATAAGTCAACATTAATTGACAGGATTCATACATACATACATATGTATGCAGGTATGCATGTACATATTTCAGAGTGTCCCGCTCTTAGGATCCACATACAATCCCGTTTTCTCTTTTTTTGTGCCAAAGGAGTTTTTTTTTTAATGATCGTAGGAACGATTGTAGTTAGGAACATCCAAAAATGTGCCAGAATCGATTGTAAGGCATACATACTTTGTGCATATGTATGACATGTATGTAGCTGCGACATATTTATGTATTTCAAGTGAGTTTTAAAGTGGAAAGTGACAGCGCGCAAAGCCACAAAACAAAACAAAAAACTTAAACAAAAGTATGAATGAAGTGAATGGACGGACAGTAGGGGAAAAAAGCGAGGTGCCGTTGGTTGGTGTCGGGGGCGGTTTGCGATGCTTTTCAGGTAGAATCCCAATCACGGCGTGATGAAAGCGAGAGTGGGCGAGTGCGCAGCAGCGGCACGGCACCGCTTAGAGTAAATGTCAGTCAATCGGCGGCGTCAGGTAAGGCGCCGAAAAAAATCAACTTCAGAAAAACAAAACACACATCGACACACACACACACACACATACACACCGAAAAAGCACAGGCCGAACGGACAATGGATGGCAGAGAAGCTGTGACAGGCGGAGGAGGAGGAGGCAGCCTCTAACTTTCTTTCTTCTTCAATATTTTGTTGAGTGCATTGTTGTTGTTGTTGTTGTTGCGCTGTTGCTGCTGCTGCACGCCCACATCATCACAATTATCTTCTTATACCCTTGCCGCCGCGGCCAGTTGACTGTCGATAACATTTGACGAGGGTTTGCGGCCAGTGGATACAGTGGGCACCATGTGTGACCTGCATGACCTTTGCGACAAGTTCTGTGCACGGATGCACGGCAATTTCTTTGGGGATCGCTTGGGTTTATATCCTAATCCAGGTTGTGCCAGGGATTTCCCAGGGAGCTGGCTGTCCGGTGCACTCAATTATAATTGATTATAATATCGATATCGATAATTGCACCCAAAATTTTGTACAGGCGTTTCGCATAGTTTTGTTCCACTGTGCAACGGGACATGGAGTTGTCATTGTATTGTGGGTTTATTGTGACTGTCGACTGGTTTCGTTTTAGTTTTGTTCCCCCTCCCCAGCCGACTTCTTTGAAAGAGGAGAGAGAGAGTGAGGGAAAGAGAGAGGATGGGGTGGGCGATAGATAGACAGCAGAAGAAATTTAAGTAGAAAGAGACCGGAGCTGTACTGTACATGGAGAGAGAAAAGAAACAACAACGACGCCGACAAAGTATTTGACGATTCTCCCGACGCGCCCGTTTACTCGCCGCCCCCGCCGCCCTCGCCCACTTTCACGTGTCCGCCCATAACTTACGAATCCTCCTTTTCCCCTTGCAGATGGAGGAGACAGCTGAGGTGGATACGGATGCGGCGCCACGGCGCAACTCCACGCCCTCTTCGTCGGCAGCGGTGCCGGCGAGGATCACCACCAGCAGCCAGAGCCACACGCACATCTACAGCCAGACCGCCTACAGCCAGCCCATTCGGCCCATGGCCAGCTACAGCGAAAAGGCGGTGGGCAGCTCGCCCAAGCATCTGGTCAGCACCCTCAGCTCGCCCATCGAGCAGATCGGCTGCAGTGTTTCGCGGGAGCATGCGCTCAAGCATGAGATCGAGCAGCTGCAGGAGCAGCTGAAGGACACCGAGGAGCGGCTGGCGTCGGTGCGCCTCCAAAGCGATTCGCTGTCGCAGACGCAGCGTGCGCTCCGCGACCACAACGGACGCCTGCAGGAGGAGTCGGAGATGCTCAAGCTGGATGTGCAGCATCTGAACGAGTGCGCCGGCGTGCTCAGGTCGGAGCTGCAGGCGGCGCGCCGTGACCGAAGCGACGCGCTGCAGCTGCAGCGCTCGCTGCGCGCGGAGCTGGAGGAGGCGCAGCAGGAGCGGCGGCGTGCGGGCGAAAGCAAGGACAAGGACACACGCGTCATACAGGATCTGCAGCGACAGTGCCGCGAAATGGAGCGCATTCTGATGCGCAAGCATCCGGATTCCGTTTCGGCGCTAATAGGTTTGTCGTCTCTCTCCCGTTTCACCCCCCCTCCTTCTCCTCGGCTGACTAATACGAGTATTCCCGCCCTTACCCTTCCGTTTCGTTTTAGTGGCCTCCAAGAGCTCGGGCCTCTGCTCGCTGAATGACCAGGAGAATGTGAACAGCCGCAAGCTGCTGGAGCAGCGCATCGCCCAGCTGGAGTCGGACGCCAAGGAGCAGGATCACAAGGCACAGCAGATCTTGGCCAATGTCCAGGCGCGCTTCAACTCGGTGCAGTCCAAGTACGAGACGCACATTGCCGACCTGGAGACGCAGGTCCTGAGGTGAGCTTCAGCCCCGAACCTCCCCCCATCGATGGCTAATCCATCCCATCTCTGTGTGGTTTGTTTTTCTCTCTCTCTCTCAGCCTGCAGGAGATCAACACGAAGCTGAACGAGCAGATCGAGTCGCAGGTGCGCACCTTGGACCGGTATATGCAGAAACGAGCGGACAGGTTCTACAACAACTGCACACAGACGGAGGCAGAGGCCGATGGCCCCACCACCACAGCTGCCATTACCACGGCCACGGGGACCCAAACGACAAACGGGACCCGCGATCACAGCACCAACACCATTGGCTGCCCATCGCCAGCGCTCCTGTGCCAGCAGCAGCACCACCTCCATGCCCAGCAACAGCAGGCGCAGCACTCGGCCAGCAGCAGCACCAGCAGCACGGCCAACTCCACGCCAAATACATCGCGCCCCAACTCCAAGCAGAGCGGTGCCAGCTCCACCACACAGCGTCGGCCCCTGGCTGCTGCGGCTGCTGGTCAGCAGATGCCCGTGTCCAAGCTGCCAATCTCACAATCGGACTCCACGCTCTCCGTTCTGAGTCACAGCCACAGCCATGGCACGGGATCGGGTTCGGTATCGGGAACGGGATCGGGACCGGGGCTGGCCAGCAAGGAGGAGTCGCAGCTGCTCAGCTCCGTTCGTGGCATGCGGGTGGACTTGGCCATCAAGAACAAGGCGATGCAGCGGCTCACACGGGAGCTGGATGAGTGCAAGAAGACCATACGGAAGCTGCAGCGGGATAGGGAGACCAGCAATCCAGGTGATTATCCCAGCCTCTTCCACTGTATTTGTATCTGTAACTGTAACTCTGCATGCGCGCGCGCGTGTGTGCATGCCTCCCCGCCTCCCACCACTTTTGGCTACTTGTGGTTTGGCTGTGTGTTTGTGTCACTCGGTCGACGATGGATGGCCGGTAATTTATGGACTTTCTCTGCTCGGCCGGCACGTACACTCGACTCGACTCGACTCGGTTCGGCTCCACTCCCGCTCCCAGCTAGCCAGAGACGACAAATAAATTGCTGGAATAAATCATTGTACGGCTGTCGACTCTGTCGGCCTTTTGACCACTTTTTGCACTCGTTTCAAACGGCAATTGCAGCCAAGCGATCGACCGCCAGTCAGCCAGTCAGGCCCAGCTGTAAGCTCAGCTAAGCTGCGCAAGCGTTAAGCGGCCAATGCCCAAGACCAAACACGTTTGGCTAGCCGGCTAGCAACTCCAGTGCCAGTGCCAGTGCCAGTCCCAGTGCCAGACCCACTCCCAGGCAATGGCTCTGGCTCTGGCTGTGTGTGGCAGTGGCAATCGCAGAGAGCGTACGGCATCTCGGGCACTTGGTTATGTCACATGCTGCCTGCCTGCCTGCCTGCTGTCTATAGCTTGTTGTTTACATTTGCTTGATTTGGATTTGAATTTGAATTTTGTTGCTGTTCGAAAAAGAAAATTCGAAAGCGAAAGTCAAAGTCAAAGACGCTGTTTCGGGTTTTGGGTTTCGGGTCGCTGGACGATGCCGCCTGGCTGGGAATCGGTGATCGCAGATCGAGTCTGTAGCCAGGCCAGCATGCTGGCACAAGTTTTATAATTTCATGACTTGGTGGTCGCAGCTGTGACAAACAGCAAAGTTTATCCTGTATATAGCAGTGGTATTAAGAGTTTGATCACTGAATATGTGATAACTGATCAGTGATCACTGATCGGCAGCAGTTAGCTAGCATTTAGCTCTTGGTGTACACTTTTAATTTTTTTTTTTTTAATTTTTTTTTCTTTTCAATCGAACTACTGCCATTGCTCGTCATGTTTTTGGTGCTTAAATATTTACTTCATTTAGTAGCTCGTAATCCTGATTCCAAATGGTATATCCGTACCCCAATGCTATAGAAAATATGATTCGAAACCCTCTGCTGTGCTGAGAGATAAATAATAATTAAATGAGCGATTCCTAAATGTTTTTGCTTTACGTCTGTCTGACTGTTCACAAATCAGTTAATAGGGTACAGCAGGCGTCGGCGTGTCCAGGCCCTGTCTTTGCTTTCTTGTTTCGTTTTTGGACGTTTTTTTTTCTTTCTTTCTTGGACGTGCGTTTTGTGGGCTAATTAATGAGCCGTCGCTCCGTCAAATTTGCTTTGTTAATAATTGTAAATGCCAAAAGCGGACAGAACACAACAGCCGTCGCATAAATAGCATCATCAGCAGCAGCAGCGGCAGCAGCAGTGGTGGGCCACAAAAAAAATGTTTTAATTTTCGTACGCGCGTGTAAAAATGCAAATCGCTCTTCATTTCTTTTTGGGCTCCCGTCTGCTGCCCCCGACGATTATGCAATCCATTTGTGAAAACGTTAAATTCGTAACAGAAATCACACACAAAACTGGCGGGGGGGGCGGGCTCAATGAACCCTTCGGGCACTTACATAAGCCGTGACGGGAGCGGGATTCACCGATGAATTCTTAAGCAAATTTTCTTTTTAATTTCTAGTCAAATATTTAATGTCTTTCTTTCACAGGCACCACCGCCAAGTGCCAGGCGAGTGGCAGCGGCAGCGGCAGCAGTGGCGCCTCGGCACAGCGTCGTTCCAGTGTCTACGATCATTATCCCGATCATATTCCAGCCGCCACTGACAGTCAGGCGCTGAAGGAGGCCCAAAATAAATACCGCCTGCTGGAGGCTGACTACAAGACGCTCCACGACAAGCGATTGCAGGATGTAAGCCAACACAGCTAAACAGCCGCCCTTCCCCTCAAACTGATCTCTGTGTTTTTGTAGCTGAAGACCCTGCAAAGTGCCCATGAACGGGAGCTGGCCACCTGCAATGAGACGGTGCGCATTCTCAAGCAGCGTCTGAACGAGCGGGAGGAGGCCTTTGCCACCCAGAAGCGGCGAAAGGTGCCCGTCGACTACTATGCACTCAAGGCCAAGGTATATCCCCCAACAGACAGCAGCTTAGCCAGAACCCAGAACCAAAATCAGAACCAGAAACAGACCCACACCCAGACCCAAATTCAAGTCAAACCAATGGCTCAAACCCAGAGAGACAATCAGGACAAACAGCCCCCCATACGACAAAACCGACTGAAAAATAATGGTCTAACTAAATTTCGTTAGATTCTCAAGACCAAATCGAGGTTTGGATTTTGATTTTGATTTAGATTACTTTTATCTTTCCTTCTCTGTGCACGAATTGGGCCTTGAGCGAGCTCTATTAACGCGTTTGTGTGTGTGTGTGTGCTTCACAGGTGTCGCTGTTGGAGCGCCGTCACTCGGAGCGGGAGGATCGACTGCATATGCTGGTGGAGGCGCTCAGCAAGGGACGTCTCAATGGTGCGCTCGAGGATCTAATGCAGGAGAACAACAATAAATAAACACTCGAATGTGAAACTTCACTCGCAGAGATACACAATTAGATTATAGTATTTGCCATGTTCAATTCAAAGCCGTCGTCCGACCAGTCAGCCAGCCAATGTGTCCAGAGTCCGTCGAAAAACCAAAAGAATATCTAGAATTTCGTTGAAGAACTATTTTAAGTCAGAATGGGCAGAGGACCGGAAACGGGAACGGGACCCATCCAAGATTGCAGCTGAAAAAGAAATTTAACTAAAAAAAAAAAAAAAAAAAAACAATTTCTGCCTGGAATTAATTTAAATTTTGGACTAAAAATTAAGTGTGTGTGTTCAAAAGAAAAACAATAAATGATGAATTGATCAGCTAGCCAACAGTTTATATAGATTTAAGATTTGATTTCCATGCATTCCAGCAGCTGCAGTCTCCCCTGTCTTCTTGCCTTGGAGGATTTAAAGAGAGTATTAAATATATATTTAAGACTAAAGCTAATTTTATTGTAGTTGTTGTGCTTGGAGCAGGCAAGCAAAGTATTTTAAATGTCAGTGTTTGAATGTAGAAATTTAATTGTTCAAAATTAATACACACACACATACACATAAGAAAGAGAGAGAGAGACATAGAGAGAGGCAACACGCATAAAAAAGAAAGAAACAACCAAATGATGATCCCATAAATGAGAGAGAGAGACAACCTGTTGCATGGTTCTGTTCCATGAAATGAAAAGTGAACAAAGATGAAGATGAAAAAGTGAAAGTTGTCCTCCTAGCAATAAGAACCCAATTATTGTATATATATATATGTATTTATATAGCCAGTACTTACACTCGCACCGATATGGCAGCGACCTAAATTTGAATATTATATATTTGATTTGTATACCAAAGAAAAGGAGCGTAGGATGCAGTCCTAAGAGTCCCAAAAAATTTAACGTTTTACCAATGTACACGGGTCGATTTCCCTTTTTTTTTGTACCCCAATCCAGTTATTGTGTCTAGAGTTATGCGTAGAAAACTTTAAAAAAGTGAAAAACAAAAAGCAGAATCAGAACCAGAACAGAAACACACACAAAAAAAAAAAAGAAACAACACGAAAACAATCCACAGGAAGGTTCGAAAACGGTAAAGCCCAAAAGTAGAGATTAAAATACGAAGAAAATTAAAATAAAAACTTTCACAGTATTCTGAAATAGCCAAAAGATTTTTGTTTGTTCTTTTCCCGCGCCACTTGCGAGAGAGCCCGCTTTCGGCTATGCAGGGATCATGTCCGTGGTTCTCATCAAGGGTAACGGACTGCTTCGCCAAGTGCATCGACTGGGAGCTGCATACGAACCTGGACAGCTTTCAATCGCGCCCATCTGAGCCGGAAGCATGGAATTCAAGGGGCGTTCCCATTGTAGGAATGTCCAAGGAGCCCGTGTGTCATCGTTAGTTGTGCATTTAGAGAAATTCATAAATCACGGCCGAGGAAAATATGGAAAGGCAGGAAAGGAAATATGGAAGAAATCCGTCACGCAGACCAGTCAGGGCAGGGACCCCTATCCATGAGCCATAGAATTCATCTCCAACTGATTGAATTAGTTACGAGGATTTATGTGGCACCTTCTGTGCTTTTAACTCAGCCATAGAAGGCAGCAGGCAGCACGCCCCACGATCTTCAAATATAAATGAAAATTACGAGTATTATTATTGCTGCAATTGTATTTTTATTTTGGTTTGTTTGATAATATTCGAGAGTACAATTAATTTGATTAATTCGATTATGTATGCGGATGGATATGGTTGGATAACTGCCGATGGCTCGGGCGATCGATCCCCATTAACAAACATCAACATCATCATAATCATCATTATCATATGTGCTTCTTGTGTTTTTGTATTCTTGTGCATTTTAGCACATTTGTTTGTTCGTTTAGAGTAGAAGTTGCATACATATATTGTATATATAGAATAGATACATAGCTATAGCTATAGTTATAGTTATAGGTATGGGTATATGGCTAGACGAGTAAGTTAAGAAGCTGACAATATGATCCCAAACAACAGCAACATTTAAGTGGCTAAGAGAACAGCAGTGATTAAGGTACAATACGTCATTGATTAAGGGGAGGATTGATAATTTATGGACACACAAACACTTAACTAGCAATACTTTGTCTATGTCTATGTCTGCTCTGCGGCAAGTGTCCAGTTCAGTGGCTCCAACTTCAGGCAACTGTCTCCAGACTGCAGCCGTCTCGGCTGTCACTCCTTTAGCTCCGAGGCCAGCCGTGGGACAGCCACTCCGCTCCGCTCTGCACGCGTCAATCCAGTCGACTGTTAGCCACGCGTGTGGAGGCCTGGTGCTTTTATAGCCAGCGGGGGTAGCCAGCTTTGGTCACAGTTGCTCCGTTGAGTGCACAATTTTACGGCCAGATGCCCATCTAAGTACAGCCAACAGCCACCAGCCACATTGTTCATTGCGTTCTAATTTGATTTTGATTGAATTGAAGTTATCGGAATTGTGCACTCGGGGCCAGGCAAGACCTCCCAGTCTAGCTGGGTACATTTGACGTCATGTCTTTGAGGCAGTAAATGGAATATTATCTATTACATGGCAGTCGCCTCATCCAAGACGACAGTGTTCGAGTCCGAGTGACGTCAGTGGCGAATTTCATTCATGAAAAATTCTGTAACAGCCGCAAAACTGGTAGGGAGGGGAGCATTAGGCCCACTTGAGTGGAGTCCGCGCGCGTCTGCGCCACAACGAAGCGTCGTGGTGCAGTGGTGCACATGTGCGATAAGCGAAATTCAATCAATCAGGAGAAACAAAAGCAAATTGAAGCCCATCGAGCAGGATGAGCAGGATGAGCAGCCGGAGCAGGAAGTGCGTGGGCTTTGGAACTCCGCACAAATTGTGTCCAGAGAATAAACTTGCGGTTGGTATTTTTTGCTATAAAAACGGAGACCTTCCACTGGTTGATTCAGTCAAGTTCTGAAGCCTGCTGGTGCAACAGCAACGAACCAGCAAACATCGTACCGGTAGCACCTGAACGGAATCTCTCAGCCAACCCAACTGCAATGGTCGTGCAAGCAAGGGAGGTTGAGGCTGAGCGCCCTGCTGCTGCTGATGCAGCTTGGATGCTTGAGCCTGGTCCTGGCCAACAGCAGATATTCCTGCAATGGCAGTGGCAGTGACCGCGACTCAGCCGTCTGCAGCAGCCGCCAGTGGGATGGCCGCAGTCTGGAGGAATACGATGAGCGGCTGGTTTACAGACAAGACCCGGAGCGCGCACAGCGACGAGTGCCTGTGCAGACCGCGGCCCGCGACGATCGTCGGGACGAGCGGCGCGAGGAAACCAAAGTGCGACTGGAGGCCAGCCGAGTCCTGCGACAGGAGGTGGTGCGCTCCATCAATCGGGACTCGCAACGAGTGGAGGATAGGACACGGGAGGTACGTGAAGGCCGCGTGGAGCGAGCAGAGCGACAGGAAGAACGCCAACGATCCAGGGCAGAGGAACGAACAGCTGTCAGACGCGATGAACGTGCGGCCCGTGAACGAACCGAAGCCAGACGATTGGATGCATCCAACGAGAGACGTGTGGCTCGAGTTGACTCCCGAAATGCCGAACGAGTGGAGCGAGACAGTCGTGTGAATTCTTCCGATGGCCGTCGCGATGCCAGAGCTAACCGAGAGAGCAGCCGACAGACAGGTACAGACATAGATGACCTACGACGAGTGGAACGACAAAACTCACGCAGAATTATGCCAGAATCGGGACAACGAGTGAACCGTGCATCACAGCGTCTGGTGGAACGAGAAACGAATCTTCGAAGATCGGAACAAGATTTACCAAGGCTTCAGGAGCGAGAGTCGGATGAGCGTGATGTTGCAAGGCGCTTCGCCATGAGCGGTGAGGAACGAGTGGGAGAACGACGTGAGGAACGAGCAGTGGAAGGACGTGAGGAACGAGCAGTCGAACCACGTGAGGAACGAGTACGGGAACGACGTGACGAACGAACAGTCGAACGACGTGAGCGGCAAGAACTTTCACGAACATTGGAACGGGACATGTCCAGACGTGGCGAACGCGAGGAGCGCGAGAGAGACGAAGTCAAGCGCCTGGACGCACGAGAGGACATGCGACAAACAGAACGACTCGAAACGCGACGAGTTCAGGTGCAGCGCGAAGAGTCCCGCAGTGAGAAACGTGAGGTGTCGAGACGTGAAAGCCGCGAGACCCTTCGCAGGGAGAACAAACGGCGAGAGGAACGTGATGAGCTGCGTTCAGAGGAGCGGGACGCATCCCGGCAAGTGGAGCGCGACGAAATGCGTCGAGTTGAGCGGGAAGAACGGGCTTTCCGAACTGAGGAAAGGCGTGACATTGATCGCAGGGTAGAAACCGCCGACAGGGAAAGCAGGCGACATGTGGAACGAGAGGGCCTGCGACTCATCGAGAGTGATGTAACTCGAGCCGATCGCCGACAGGACGAACGCGACCATTCAAGGCGTGACGAGCGCGAGCGAGTAGATGCTGGAATAGAACGTGAAAACTTGCGACGAGTGGAACGTGGCGATTTGCAAAGGGTCCAACGCGACTCGTCCAGACGTGAGGAACGGGAGGACCGTGAGGCAGCCCGTGACGATTCCGAAATGCGACGCTTGGACAGTCGCAGGGACGCACAACGTGTGGAACGTCGAGATGAAAAAGAGCGCAACGATATGCGACGCGTGGAGCGAGATCTCGCCCGACGCGAAGCTGGCGAACGTTTAGGATTAGATCGTCGCGAGTCCCTGCGACGTGAGCAGCCCCAGGGCTGGCTGAGCTACGGCAAGCGTGAACTGCTGATGACCGGTCAGTTCCTGCTCCTGGCCGCGCTCTACAAAAAGTCAACCGCCAATGGAAAGGGCCTCTCTGGTCTGGGGTAAGTGTTTGTCTGCTGTCTGTTTTAATGGCTGAAACCAATTAAATTTCATCGGTAGGAATGCGCTGGGTGAAGAGTTTCAGGGCTACCTCCAAATGATCGGCTGCTAATTCCACACAGCAAACCCAAACCCCAAAAAAACACAACCACAAACCCCCCCCACCGGACCAAGACCAGGCATCAGCACAAAGGACTACGCACCGAACCAGCCACAGGAAAGCAACGAACGAGTTTTAAGGCCGAGAGAAGAGAGGGATTCCCTCCCGTTGGGGAATGGCCAGGACAAGTCTGGGCAGGCCCGGCCCATGTGGATGAAGGATGAAGGTTGGAGATGGAGGAGCCAGTTTTCTGCCCTCCGCATCCCATCATCCCAGTCCCATCATCCCATCCACATGCATTGTAAAATTTAATCCAAACTGTTACTGTAACTAACCGACAAGCATAACGAGAATAACGAAAATATAAGGGATACTCAGTTGAGCATCTGCATCTGCATAGCAAGCACGGAAGGAGCTTCGATTCCTGGCTCTGGTTCTGGCTCTGGCTCAGAGTTTTGGGTTTGCGGCTGGCCCCTGCATAGAGCTGGCCATAATTGGAGCATTCGTGTGTGTCCGGTTGCTTGGTCGTGTGTGCATGGATACCGCAACTGTCCACTCAACTGCCACCCCTGCAACCGGCGGCGGGGGCGCATCCGTTGCATCCAGCCAGCGATGGGGGCTCTACACTCTACATGCTCAACGCTGAGCAGCGCACAAAGCTGAAAGCCAAAAATTATTATTGCGATTTTCCATGCCGTTTGCCTTCAGTCCTAGAGTACTAGAGTCCTAGAGTACCAGAGTCCTAGCTGCTTTGTCTGGCTGGCCTGTAGGAGGGATGTGTGTGTGTGTATTGGGGCTGATAAATTTCGCACATATTAGATGTTGGTCTGGTTCTATTCATCTTTTTGGGTTTCAAGAGATTTCCCTAGGTGGGTGGGGCTCGAACGAACGACCGACAACCAGCCAGTAAGCCATCCTTAATCAGTGAAACCAACACACAATTTTGCACAATTTTCATCTTTTGGGGATTATTTCAACTGTGTGTGAGTGCTGGAAGGATGTGTAAGGATGGAAACGGATGTGTGTGTGGCTCTCCAAGCAGAAGCCTTCTTCTATTCAGAGCCTGTGGGCTGTGGTGCTGTGTGCTCTGGCCTTGTTTCCGCTCACTCTGGCAAATATAAATACGAGTGTTCTGCTTGGCAAGTACGAGCACTCCTCCGTAATGGTTTGGGTTTTGACAATCCATGGCCAACACCCAAGCATTTTGGTCAGAAGATCTGTTTTGGGGGGTGGGATTGGGCTTGGGATTGGGCTTGGGATTGGGCTTGGACTTGGGATTGATGCTTCCAATCACCACAGGCAGGGGCCAGTTGTTGCTGCTGCTGCTCGTATTTTGTATTTACCAGTAGATTAAGTAGGTTAAGTAGGCCCCCCACTCTCCCAGGTTCGGCTTTCCATTTGCTGTAAAAGGGGAGGAGGCAGTGCATCGCCTTTGCCGCTGGACCAACTTTATTTATGGGTAGAACTGCAGGCTGGACTTAAATTCAATGCAATTTCTTTTGCAGTTGTTTTTATTGGCAAACGGAAGTGTGAAATATCAATACACACAGTCTCATTCCGATATTCACACAGTGAGAGAGGGGTGGAGAGAGGGGGGCAGAGTGTGCTGTAGCTGTGGCAAGTTGTGCAATATGAAAGGCGCCACAAAAGTGCAATAAACCAAACAAGAAAACATCATAAAAAATGGAGTTTTTTTCAATATTTATGCGAATTAAATAAGTGACGCGCATGGGCCAGGTCCAGGACCAGCACCAGCAACAGACACACAGATACAGTCACACATACACACACGCAGACACAGCCCACACCCCAACGATAATGGTACATGGGGAGGGGTAGGGGACTAGACCAAACAAGAAGCTCACACTGGGGGGATGGTGCCACTGAGTGGGGACTGAGTGAGGACCGAGTGGGGACTGAGTGGGGACTGAGTACTCGGGGTTGTATCTGTGTTGTGTGGCTACAGGGGACTGTTTTGTTGGAGCTGGGGGGCGGTATAGCTCTCTCTGTCTCTCCCTCTCTCTGGGCGCGAGCATTTTACGAGTATTTGAGGTTTATTTTATGCTCCCGCACACTCCCGAATGCAAAACAACATAAATTCTGTGTCAGAAATCATAAATTTCAATAAAATAAAAGCAGCGAAGCGCCAAATAAATACGTGTAGCAGTTTCGGGGGGCATGGCCAAAAAGGGGTACGGGTAGTGGTACGGGTAGGGGTAGGGGTAGCTGCTACGCTTCAGTTGGTTAAGTAAAAGCAACAGCCAAGTGCAAAGTATATGTCCTTAAAACAGACAAAAAACAACAACAACAAAAAGAAAAAACGAAAAATATTCTCGGGATGTGGAGGCCAAAGTTTTGGATACACTAGAAAATACAGCGTTTTGTTTTTAGAGTAAGCTAAAAATAATTGAAATAAATAAATGCATAGCCATTAATAATAAACATAACAATTCAAAAATTAAAATATAAAAATATACATAAAAAAATAAAAAAAAACAATTCCAAAAAGAAAGAAAAATCTTCCCAAATGATAAGCAATTCTTGTCAGAATGTTAATGTGTAGTGGAAGTTGGGAAATTAGAATCACTTGGTTCCTGGGGTGTCTAATTTCTAATTTCTGGAGAGTTCTAATTTCTCGACTGTTTTAGTTTCCGATCTTCCACTGTATTTGTATTAGATTTAAGTAAATCACCTTCAAAACGAAACATAAATATATATAAATAAATAAAAGTTTTACTTGTTGCCTAAATTATGGCTACAGCACAAAATAAATTAAATAAAAATAATTAAAATGTGACAGAAGAGTAATTAAAGAAATATTATGCACAAATATTGGACAGCAACCTTATATGGAAATATTATATTATTATTCTGTTAAGTTATCTTCCAATAAAATCAATATTTATTTTTATTTATTAAAATATGACAGAAGAGTAATTAAATAAATCTTATGCAATAATATTAGGCAGAAACATTATTAGGAAATATATTATTATATTCTGTTAAGTTATCTTCCAACAAAATCAATATTTATTTAACTACAAGAATGACAGCTAATACCCATTCAAGTGGGAACTTGGCTAGCTATGAAAACTGATCAAAAATATACATAAATATGTATGCAAATATGTACATCTACACATATATATATGTATGTATGTATCTATGTGTGAAAATTCTGGATAGGGTATCAAACTTTTTTGCTCATGTGCGGTTGCAAGCATCTGATTAAAATCGCAACACTCTCTGCAAGAAGGATGTACCAAAAAAAAAAAGAAAAGGCAAAGACAAAAAACAAACAAAAACTGAAGCAGCAGGAAAACTCCCTGCTCCAATGTATGTTGTGTGTGTGTGTGTGTGTATTTTGCATAATTTAATGGATGCCAGAGGGCAGCAGAGGAGACTAGTAGCTGGCTGGTTACAGGAGAAGACGGCGCCCCCTTCCCAAAAAGTGGCCGCCGCCCAGGACCAGGCCCAGGCCCAGGACCAGGCCCAGGCTGCCGCAGGATGCTTTCTATCAAGTGAAGGTAACGGCCGAAACTTGCCAAATATTTCATGAGGCAACGCGGCAAAATGTGTTGCACACCCAGCTCAGCGGGGGGTGGGTGGGTGGTGGTGGGCGAGGGCAGCGAATTCTGTTGCTGGTGCTGGAAAAGCCAAATGGTTTTTCTTTTCTTGTTGCCATTTTATAAATTATCAATTTCACTCGTTCAACGGCAAAAGGCAAAAGGCAGAAGAGCAGCAGAGCAGAGAAAGGCAAAAATGAAGCAAAAAGTAACTGAAGAGAGAGCGAGAGGGGGAGAGAGTGGGTAGGGTAGGGATAGGGGGTGGGGCATGGGATGCGTCGCACAAAATAAATAAATGCAATAAGTGATGGCAAATGGAAAATTGTGAAAATTGTGAAATTGGGTAAAATTGGAAAACCGCAGAAAATTGCATTTCTCCAGCGAAACGAAAAACGAATCGAAACGAAACGAAAATCCTCCACAAGTTGCCATTAAATGTCAATTTAATGGGGGTGGGTTGTGGTGGTGGGGGTGCAGTTGGGGGAGGTATAGTAGAGAAATGTGCAGTTAAATAAAAATCAAAGCGGTTTACGTTATCAGCAAACGATTGCCATTCCCCCCCCCCACACCCCACCATCGGATCGAAGAAGTTGCGTTGACACAATCCTCTGCCCAGCTGCCCACCTGCCCCCGCAACGCCCCACACTTGTGGCATCTGCATTTGGCGGCAGCGTAGAGCAAATGCGATATTGGTTTATGCAACAGACTTTTATGGGCGGGCACATCACAGCTGAACAGGAGACAGCCTTCGGGGCAGGGCAGGAGGAGGAGGACGCGGAAGGGAGGAGGAGAAAGATTGAAGTCGAGTGAAGTGAGGCGAGCATTTGGCAATGCCAAACTTTGACATGGCGACATTTTCGCAATGGAAAATCGCATCCCAACCAGGTTGAAGCTGCCATGCCACAGGACGAGTAGTGGAGGTAGGTGCCACGCAATTTTTGGGACTGACTGACTGACTGACTGGTGGCATCAATCGCAGTTGTGCCACATAAATTTGCTGTTCACGTACATGAAAGCCGCCACCGCCACCGCCACCGTGCCGCTTGCCGCTTGCACAAGCCTGCAATCATTCTCAAATATTGTCGCAGTTACCCCCGGGCTGCCATTTTCTATTTTCCATTTTCAAATCCATTTGCAGAGATCCATTTCTACACTGCAAAACAATTCTGTTCTCCCTGAAATCTGCTAATATTGTATGGGCAGATAATTGAATAGTTCTAGGTAGGGAGCCAAGGGCTTCGATGCACATAAATAATTTTATTATTATTTCCTAAGTTATTAAAAATAGTAAAAAATAATAAATAATAAAAAAATAAATAAAAATTTGATGCACATAAATAATTTTAATATTATTTCCTAATTGATTAAAAATAGTAAAAATAATAAATAATAATATATAATAAAATAATAATCGCCAATTTATACCTAATGATTGAAAAATAGTCCAAATAATATTACACCCAAATATATTATGATATTTTTATTTCTAGTTATTTCGGTTTTAAGAGGTTTCCAAAGCACTTACATACAAATTCTTTTTAAAATTTTTATATTTTAAAATTTTTAAATTTTCTGAAATGTTTTTTTTTTTGTTGATTTCTCGTCGTGCAGCACTTTCTTTCGGTTGAATTGAAAGGCAACCGCATGTCAGATTTTGGATAGGCACATTGGAGTGCCCTTCCCTACACTCATTTCACCTGGTTGCTGGTTGGCCACAAGTCCAATGATGACATTTGCTGGGTGGTGCAGTCAAATCTCAGCCTCAGTGATGCACCCAACCACCCCCCGCACCCATCTGTTTGCCAGCTGCCAAACCTTACGCCCATTTTCAGCTG